AGTGTCTTGAATACAGGCTCGTCTTTCATCTCACAACGGGAAGGAATGTCTGAATCCCCTGTGGAGACCTTAGCGAAAGCCCTAGGTCCCTGCCTCATTTTGACGGATTGCCTCACATCCCGTTGACACCTCGAGAGGCACACGGAGTACACTGCTTCAAATGTGACGATGCCTGACTCCTCCTGAACATTGATAGGAATCCCAAAATCACTGTGGCTACAGGAAAGGGTTCTTGTGTGCCCTGCATCACCTCGAGAAGCATCCCTTTTGCCCTGCCAAGGCTCGAAAAGATTCATGAGGTGTCCCTCATTACTAGACAGGAGTCATGACGTCACTGAATAAACACGTGTTTTCAAGGGCCAAGCCCGCCATAACTCGAGAACATACCCCACGTACCGCCGCGACTCGAGAAAAACCATGAGACTTCCCCTAGATGCGATATGAGGCCTGATTCCCTGCAGTCCATGCAGAGCATTCCTGTGATCCCAATCAAGCAAGTCAGCAGCTTCGAATTGCTTAATGGATCTCGAGAGAGTAACCAGGAACACTGTCACAAGTCTAGACAGACCCTGACATCACCCCAGCAAAGCAAAGCAGGTCCAAGTACCCCACATCACCTCGAGTTGGGGCCCGATTCCCATGCATTGACTCCAGAGCCATCACCCGTACCCTATTAAACACCACCAGTGGCTTGACTTCCTTCAGGCAACTCCAGAGATGCCCCGAGAACACAGTCCCAATTCTAGAGGAATACGAAGTTCAGCACAGCAACTCGAGGAATGCTCCGTGTACCCCAAATCGTTTCGAGGTGAGAGCTGATTCCATGGCTTAGGCTCAAGACGTATGCCAACTTTCCAGAAGCCCCTCAAGCGGAGGATTCTCTCAGCAATAGGTATGTTGGAGGGACCCCCACTTTGCTGCCTCAAGTGGAATATACAGCGAGAAGCCCTAACTTGAAAGGAGGCCGGATTTCCTTGCAGTGGCTTGAATACAGGCTCGTCTTTCATCTCACAGCATGAAGGGATGTCTGAATCCCCTGTGGAGACCTTAAAGAAAGCTCTAGGTCCCTGCCTCATTTTGACGGAATACCTCACATCCCGTTGACACTTCGAGAGGCACGCGGAATTCACTGCTTCAAAAGGTGATGATGCCTGACTCGTCTTGAATATTGATAGGAATCCCAAAACCCCTGTGGCTATTTGAAAGGTTCCTTGGGTGTCCTGCCTCACCTCGAGAAGCGTCCCTTGTGCCTGCCAAGCCTCGAAGAGATTCCTGAGCTGTCCCTCGTTACTGGACAGGAGTCCTGACGTCACTGAATAAACAGGAGTTTTTAAGGGCCATCCCCGCTGTAACCCGAGTACATACCCCTGGTCCCCGCCGCAAGTCGAGAAAAACCATGAGACTTTCCCCTAGTGGCGAGATGAGGCCCGATTCTCCTGCAGTGCATGCAGAGCAATTCCGTGATACCCATCAAACAAGTCAGGACCTTCGACTTGCTTAATGGATCTCGAGACAGTCCCCAAGAATACTGTCACATGTCTAGACGGATCCTGAGGTAAACCCATCAATGCAAAGCAGCACCATGTGCCCCACATCAACTCGAGATAATGCCCGATTCCCCTGCATTGATTCCAGAGCCATCCCCCGTTCCACATTAAACACCACCAGTGGCTTGACTTCCTTCAGACATTCCAGAGATGCCCTGAGAACACTGTCCAAAGTCTAGAGGAACACCATCTTCAGCACAGCAACTCGAGGAATGCTCCGTGTACCCCAAATCGTCTCGAGATGAGAGCTGATTCCCTGGCTTAGGCTCAAGACGTATGCCAACTTTCCAGAAGCACCTCAAGGGGAGGCTTCTCTCAGCAATAGGTATGTTGGAGGACCCCAGTTTGCTGCCTCAAGTGGAATATGCAGCGAGAAGCCCTAACTTGAAAGGAGGCCGGGTTTCCTTGCAGTGTCTTGAATACAGGCTCGTCTTTCATCTCACAACGGGAAGGAATGTCTGAATCCCCTGTGGAGACCTTAGCGAAAGCCCTAGGTCCCTGCCTCATTTTGACGGATTGCCTCACATCCCGTTGACACCTCGAGAGGCACACGGAGTTCACTGCTTCAAATGTGACGATGCCTGACTCCTCCTGAACATTGATAGGAATCCCAAAATCACTGTGGCTACAGGAAAGGGTTCTTGTGTGCCCTGCCTCACCTCGAGAAGCATCCCTTTTGCCCTGCCAAGGCTCGAAGAGATTCCTGAGGTGTCCCTCATTACTAGACAGGAGTCATGACGTCACTGAATAAACACGTGTTTTCAAGGGCCAAGCCCGCCATAACTCGAGAACATACCCCACGTACCGCCGCGACTCGAGAAAAACCAGGAGACTTCCCCTAGATGCGATATGAGGCCTGATTCCCTGCAGTCCATGCAGAGCATTCCCGTGATCCCAATGAAGCAAGTCAGCAGCTTCGAATTGCTTAATGGATTTCGAGAGAGTCGCCAGGAACACTGTCACAAGTCTAGACAGACCCTGACATCACCCCAGCAAAGCAAAGCAGGTCCAAGTACCCCACATCACCTCGAGTTGAGGCCCGATTCCCATGCATTGACTCCAGAGCCATCCCCCGTACCCCATTAAACACCACCAGTGGCTTGACTTCCTTCAGGCAACTCCAGAGATGCCCCGAGAACACTGTCCCAAGTCTAGAGGAATACGAACTTCAGCACAGCAACTCGAGGAATGCTCGGTGTACCCCAAATCGTTTCGAGGTAAGAGCTGAATCCATGGCTTAGGCTCAAGACGTATGCCAACTTTCCAGAAGCACCTCAAGCGGAGGATTCTCTCAGCAATAGGTATGTTGGAGGGACCCCCACTTTGCTGCCTCAAGTGGAATATACAGCGAGAAGCCCTAACTTGAAAGGAGGCCGGATTTCCTTGCAGTGTCTTGAATACAGGCTCGTCTTTCATCTCACAACCGGAAGGGATGTCTGAATGCCCTGTGTAGAACTTAGAGAAAGCCCTAGGTCCCTGCCTCCTTTTGACGGATTGCCTCACATCCCGTTGACACGTCGAGAGGCACGCGGAGTTCACTGCTTCAAAAGGTGATGATGCCTGACTCGTCTTGAATATTGATAGGAATCCCAAAATCCCTGTGGCTATTTGAAAGGTTCCTTGGGTGTCCTGCCTCACCTCGAGAAGCGTCCCTTGTGCCTGCCAAGCCTCGAAGAGATTCCTGAGCTGTCCCTCGTTACTGGACAGGAGTCCTGACGTCACTGAATAAACAGGAGTTTTTAAGGGCCATCCCCGCTGTAACCCGAGTACATACCCCAGGTCCCCGCCGCAAGTCGAGAAAAACCATGAGACTTTCCCCTCGTGGCGAGATGAGGCCCGATTCTCCTGCAGTGCATGCAGAGCAATTCCGTGATCCCCATCAAACAAGTCAGGACCTTCGACTTGCTTAATGGATCTCGAGACAGTCCCCAAGAATACTGTCACATGTCTAGACGGATCCTGAGGTAAACCCATCAATGCAAAGCAGCACCATGTGCCCCACATCACCTCGAGTTGAGGCCCGATTCCCATGAATTGACTCCAGAGCCATCCCCCGTACCCCATTAAACACCACCAGTGGCTTGACTTCCTTCAGGCAACTCCAGAGATGCCCCGAGAACACTGTCCCACGTCTAGAGGAATACGAACTTCAGCACAGCAACTCGAGGAATGCTCCGTGTACCCCAAATCGTTTCGAGGTGAGAGCTGATTCCATGGCTTAGGCTCAAGACGTATGCAAACTTTCCAGAAGCACCTCAAGCGGAGGATTCTCTCAGCAATAGATATGTTGGAGGGACCCCCACTTTGCGGCCTCAAGTGGAATATACAGCGAGAAGCCCTAACTTGAAAGGAGGCCGGGTTTCCTTGCAGTGTCTTGAATACAGGCTCGTCTTTCATCTCACAACGGGAAGGAATGTCTGAATCCCCTGTGGAGACCTTAGCGAAAGCCCTAGGTCCCTGCCTCATTTTGACGGATTGCCTCACATCCCGTTGACACCTCGAGAGGCACCCGGAGTTCACTGCTTCAAATGTGACGATGCCTGACTCCTCCTGAACATTGATAGGAATCCCAAAATCACTGTGGCTACAGTAAAGGGTTCTTGTGTGCCCTGCCTCACCTCGAGAAGCATCCCTTTTGCCCTGCCAAGGCTCGAAAAGATTCCTGAGGTGTCCCTCATTACTAGACAGGAGTCATGACGTCACTGAATAAACACGTGTTTTCAAGGGCCAAGCCCGCCATAACTCGAGAACATACCCCACGTACCGCCGCGACTCGAGAAAAACCATGAGACTTCCCCTAGATGCGATATGAGGCCTGATTCCCTGCAGTCCATGCAGAGCATTCCTGTGATCCCAATCAAGCAAGTCAGCAGCTTCGAATTGCTTAATGGATCTCGAGAGAGTCCCCAGGAACACTGTCACAAGTCTAGACAGACCCTGACATCACCCCAGCAAAGCAAAGCAGGTCCAAGTACCCCACATCACCTCGAGTTGAGGCCCGATTCCCATGCATTGACTCCAGAGCCATTCCCCGTACCCCATTAAACACCACCAGTGGCTTGACTTCCTTCAGGCAACTCCAGAGATGCACCGAGAACACTGTCCCAAGTCTAGAGGAATACGAACTTCAGCACAGCAACTCGAGGAATGCTCCGTGTACCCCAAATCGTTTCGAGGTGAGAGCTGATTCCATGGCTTAGGCTCAAGACGTATGCCAACTTTCCAGAAGCCCCTCAAGAGGAGGCTTCTCTCAGCAATAGGTATGTGGGAGGGACCCCGAATTTGCTGCCTCAAGTGGAATATACAGCGAGAAGCCCTAACTTGAAAGGAGGCCGGATTTCCTTGCAGTGGCTTGAATACAGGCTCGTCTTTCATCTCACAGCATGAAGGGATGTCTGAATCCCCTGTGGAGACCTTAGAGAAAGCTCTAGGTCCCTGCCTCATTTTGACGGAATGCCTCACATCCCGTTGACACTTCGAGAGGCACGCGGAATTCACTGCTTCAAAAGGTGATGATGCCTGACTCGTCTTGAATATTGATAGGAATCCCAAAATCCCTGTGGCTATTTGAAAGGTTCCTTGGGTGTCCTGCCTCACCTCGAGAAGCGTCCCTTGTGCCTGCCAAGCCTCGAAGAGATTCCTGAGCTGTCCCTCGTTACTGGACAGGAGTCCTGACGTCACTGAATAAACAGGAGTTTTTAAGGGCCATCCCCGCTGTAACCCGAGTACATACCCCAGGTCCCCGCCGCAAGTCGAGAAAAACCATGAGACTTTCCCCTAGTGGCGAGATGAGGCCCGAATCTCCTGCAGTGCCTGCAGAGCAATTCCGTGATCCCCATCAAACAAGTTAGGACCTTCGACTTGCTTAATGGATCTCGAGACAGTCCCCAAGAATACTGTCACATGTCTAGACGGATCCTGAGGTCACCCCATCAACGCAAAGCAGCACCATGTGCCCCACATCAACTCGAGATAATCCCCGATTCCCCTGCATTGACTCCAGAGCCATCCCCCGTTCCACATTAAACACCACCAGTGGCTTGACTTCCTTCAGACAACTCCAGAGATGCCCTGAGAACACTGTCCCAAGTCTAGAGGAACACCATCTTCAGCACAGCAACTCGAGGAATGCTCCGTGTACCCCAAATCGTCTCGAGATGAGAGGTGATTCCATGGCTTAGGCTCAAGACGTATGCCAACTTTCCAGAAGCACCTCAAGGGGAGGCTTCTCTCAGCAATAGGTATGTTGGAGGGACCCCCAGTTTGCTGCCTCAAGTGGAATATGCAGCGAGAAGCCCTAACTTGAAAGGAGGCCGGGTTTCCTTGCAGTGTCTTGAATACAGGCTCGTCTTTCATCTCACAACGGGAAGGAATGTCTGAATCCCCTGTGGAGACCTTAGCGAAAGCCCTAGGTCCCTGCCTCATTTTGACGGATTGCCTCACATCCCGTTGACACCTCGAGAGGCACACGGAGTACACTGCTTCAAATGTGACGATGCCTGACTCCTCCTGAACATTGATAGGAATCCCAAAATCACTGTGGCTACAGGAAAGGGTTCTTGTGTGCCCTGCATCACCTCGAGAAGCATCCCTTTTGCCCTGCCAAGGCTCGAAAAGATTCATGAGGTGTCCCTCATTACTAGACAGGAGTCATGACGTCACTGAATAAACACGTGTTTTCAAGGGCCAAGCCCGCCATAACTCGAGAACATACCCCACGTACCGCCGCGACTCGAGAAAAACCATGAGACTTCCCCTAGATGCGATATGAGGCCTGATTCCCTGCAGTCCATGCAGAGCATTCCTGTGATCCCAATCAAGCAAGTCAGCAGCTTCGAATTGCTTAATGGATCTCGAGAGAGTAACCAGGAACACTGTCACAAGTCTAGACAGACCCTGACATCACCCCAGCAAAGCAAAGCAGGTCCAAGTACCCCACATCACCTCGAGTTGGGGCCCGATTCCCATGCATTGACTCCAGAGCCATCACCCGTACCCTATTAAACACCACCAGTGGCTTGACTTCCTTCAGGCAACTCCAGAGATGCCCCGAGAACACAGTCCCAATTCTAGAGGAATACGAAGTTCAGCACAGCAACTCGAGGAATGCTCCGTGTACCCCAAATCGTTTCGAGGTGAGAGCTGATTCCATGGCTTAGGCTCAAGACGTATGCCAACTTTCCAGAAGCCCCTCAAGCGGAGGATTCTCTCAGCAATAGGTATGTTGGAGGGACCCCCACTTTGCTGCCTCAAGTGGAATATACAGCGAGAAGCCCTAACTTGAAAGGAGGCCGGATTTCCTTGCAGTGGCTTGAATACAGGCTCGTCTTTCATCTCACAGCATGAAGGGATGTCTGAATCCCCTGTGGAGACCTTAAAGAAAGCTCTAGGTCCCTGCCTCATTTTGACGGAATACCTCACATCCCGTTGACACTTCGAGAGGCACGCGGAATTCACTGCTTCAAAAGGTGATGATGCCTGACTCGTCTTGAATATTGATAGGAATCCCAAAACCCCTGTGGCTATTTGAAAGGTTCCTTGGGTGTCCTGCCTCACCTCGAGAAGCGTCCCTTGTGCCTGCCAAGCCTCGAAGAGATTCCTGAGCTGTCCCTCGTTACTGGACAGGAGTCCTGACGTCACTGAATAAACAGGAGTTTTTAAGGGCCATCCCCGCTGTAACCCGAGTACATACCCCTGGTCCCCGCCGCAAGTCGAGAAAAACCATGAGACTTTCCCCTAGTGGCGAGATGAGGCCCGATTCTCCTGCAGTGCATGCAGAGCAATTCCGTGATACCCATCAAACAAGTCAGGACCTTCGACTTGCTTAATGGATCTCGAGACAGTCCCCAAGAATACTGTCACATGTCTAGACGGATCCTGAGGTAAACCCATCAATGCAAAGCAGCACCATGTGCCCCACATCAACTCGAGATAATGCCCGATTCCCCTGCATTGATTCCAGAGCCATCCCCCGTTCCACATTAAACACCACCAGTGGCTTGACTTCCTTCAGACATTCCAGAGATGCCCTGAGAACACTGTCCAAAGTCTAGAGGAACACCATCTTCAGCACAGCAACTCGAGGAATGCTCCGTGTACCCCAAATCGTCTCGAGATGAGAGCTGATTCCCTGGCTTAGGCTCAAGACGTATGCCAACTTTCCAGAAGCACCTCAAGGGGAGGCTTCTCTCAGCAATAGGTATGTTGGAGGACCCCAGTTTGCTGCCTCAAGTGGAATATGCAGCGAGAAGCCCTAACTTGAAAGGAGGCCGGGTTTCCTTGCAGTGTCTTGAATACAGGCTCGTCTTTCATCTCACAACGGGAAGGAATGTCTGAATCCCCTGTGGAGACCTTAGCGAAAGCCCTAGGTCCCTGCCTCATTTTGACGGATTGCCTCACATCCCGTTGACACCTCGAGAGGCACACGGAGTTCACTGCTTCAAATGTGACGATGCCTGACTCCTCCTGAACATTGATAGGAATCCCAAAATCACTGTGGCTACAGGAAAGGGTTCTTGTGTGCCCTGCCTCACCTCGAGAAGCATCCCTTTTGCCCTGCCAAGGCTCGAAGAGATTCCTGAGGTGTCCCTCATTACTAGACAGGAGTCATGACGTCACTGAATAAACACGTGTTTTCAAGGGCCAAGCCCGCCATAACTCGAGAACATACCCCACGTACCGCCGCGACTCGAGAAAAACCAGGAGACTTCCCCTAGATGCGATATGAGGCCTGATTCCCTGCAGTCCATGCAGAGCATTCCCGTGATCCCAATGAAGCAAGTCAGCAGCTTCGAATTGCTTAATGGATTTCGAGAGAGTCGCCAGGAACACTGTCACAAGTCTAGACAGACCCTGACATCACCCCAGCAAAGCAAAGCAGGTCCAAGTACCCCACATCACCTCGAGTTGAGGCCCGATTCCCATGCATTGACTCCAGAGCCATCCCCCGTACCCCATTAAACACCACCAGTGGCTTGACTTCCTTCAGGCAACTCCAGAGATGCCCCGAGAACACTGTCCCAAGTCTAGAGGAATACGAACTTCAGCACAGCAACTCGAGGAATGCTCGGTGTACCCCAAATCGTTTCGAGGTAAGAGCTGAATCCATGGCTTAGGCTCAAGACGTATGCCAACTTTCCAGAAGCACCTCAAGCGGAGGATTCTCTCAGCAATAGGTATGTTGGAGGGACCCCCACTTTGCTGCCTCAAGTGGAATATACAGCGAGAAGCCCTAACTTGAAAGGAGGCCGGATTTCCTTGCAGTGTCTTGAATACAGGCTCGTCTTTCATCTCACAACCGGAAGGGATGTCTGAATGCCCTGTGTAGAACTTAGAGAAAGCCCTAGGTCCCTGCCTCCTTTTGACGGATTGCCTCACATCCCGTTGACACGTCGAGAGGCACGCGGAGTTCACTGCTTCAAAAGGTGATGATGCCTGACTCGTCTTGAATATTGATAGGAATCCCAAAATCCCTGTGGCTATTTGAAAGGTTCCTTGGGTGTCCTGCCTCACCTCGAGAAGCGTCCCTTGTGCCTGCCAAGCCTCGAAGAGATTCCTGAGCTGTCCCTCGTTACTGGACAGGAGTCCTGACGTCACTGAATAAACAGGAGTTTTTAAGGGCCATCCCCGCTGTAACCCGAGTACATACCCCAGGTCCCCGCCGCAAGTCGAGAAAAACCATGAGACTTTCCCCTCGTGGCGAGATGAGGCCCGATTCTCCTGCAGTGCATGCAGAGCAATTCCGTGATCCCCATCAAACAAGTCAGGACCTTCGACTTGCTTAATGGATCTCGAGACAGTCCCCAAGAATACTGTCACATGTCTAGACGGATCCTGAGGTCACCCCATCAACGCAAAGCAGCACCATTGCCCCACATCAACTCGAGATAATGCCCGATTCCCCTGCATTGACTCCAGAGCCATCCCCCGTTCCACATTAAAAACCACCAGTGGCTTGACTTCCTTCAGACAACTCCAGAGATGCCCTGAGAACACTGTCCCAAGTCTAGAGGAACACCATCTTCAGCACAGCAACTCGAGGAATGCTCCGTGTACCCCAAATCGTCTCGAGATGAGAGCTGATTCCCTGGCTTAGGCTCAAGACGTATGCCAACTTTCCAGAAGCACCTCAAGGGGAGGCTTCTCTCAGCAATAGGTATGTTGGAGGGACCCCCAGTTTGCTGCCTCAAGTGGAATATGCAGCGAGAAGCCCTAACTTGAAAGGAGGCCGGGTTTCCTTGCAGTGTCTTGAATACAGGCTCGTCTTTCATCTCACAACGGGAAGGAATGTCTGAATCCCCTGTGGAGACCTTAGCGAAAGACCTAGGTCCCTGCCTCATTTTGACGGATTGCCTCACATCCCGTTGACACCTCGAGAGGCACCCGGAGTTCACTGCTTCAAATGTGATGATGCCTGACTCCTCCTGAACATTGATAGGAATCCCAAAATCACTGTGGCTACTGGAAAGGGTTCTTGTGTGCCCTGCCTCACCTCGAGAAGCATCCCTTTTGCCCTGCCAAGGCTCGAAAAGATTCCTGAGGTGTCCCTCATTACTAGACAGGAGTCATGACGTCACTGAATAAACACGTGTTTTCAAGGGCCAAGCCCGCCATAACTCGAGAACATACCCCACGTACCGCCGCGACTCGAGAAAAACCATGAGACTTCCCCTAGATGCGATATGAGGCCTGATTCTCTGCAGTCCATGCAGAGCATTCCCGTGATCCCAATCAAGCAAGTCAGCAGCTTCGAATTGCTTAATGGATCTCGAGAGAGTCCCCACGAACACTGTCACAAGTCTAGACAGACCCTGACATCACCCAAGCAAAGCAAAGCAGGTCCAAGTACCCCACATCACCTCGAGTTGAGGCCCGATTCCCATGCATTGACTCCAGAGCCATCCCCCGTACCCCATTAAACACCACCAGTGGCTTGACTTCCTTCAGGCAACTCCAGAGATGCCCCAAGAACACTGTCCCACGTCTAGAGGAATACGAACTTCAGCACAGCAACTCGAGGAATGCTCCGTGTACCCCAAATCGTTTCGAGGTGAGAGCTGATTCCATGGCTTAGGCTCAAGACGTATGCAAACTTTCCAGAAGCACCTCAAGCGGAGGATTCTCTCAGCAATAGATATGTTGGAGGGACCCCCACTTTGCGGCCTCAAGTGGAATATACAGCGAGAAGCCCTAACTTGAAAGGAGGCCGGGTTTCCTTGCAGTGTCTTGAATACAGGCTCGTCTTTCATCTCACAACGGGAAGGAATGTCTGAATCCCCTGTGGAGACCTTAGCGAAAGCCCTAGGTCCCTGCCTCATTTTGACGGATTGCCTCACATCCCGTTGACACCTCGAGAGGCACCCGGAGTTCACTGCTTCAAATGTGACGATGCCTGACTCCTCCTGAACATTGATAGGAATCCCAAAATCACTGTGGCTACAGTAAAGGGTTCTTGTGTGCCCTGCCTCACCTCGAGAAGCATCCCTTTTGCCCTGCCAAGGCTCGAAAAGATTCCTGAGGTGTCCCTCATTACTAGACAGGAGTCATGACGTCACTGAATAAACACGTGTTTTCAAGGGCCAAGCCCGCCATAACTCGAGAACATACCCCACGTACCGCCGCGACTCGAGAAAAACCAGGAGACTTCCCCTAGATGCGATATGAGGCCTGATTCCCTGCAGTCCATGCAGAGCATTCCTGTGATCCCAATCAAGCAAGTCAGCAGCTTCGAATTGCTTAATGGATCTCGAGAGAGTCCCCAGGAACACTGTCACAAGTCTAGACAGACCCTGACATCACCCCAGCAAAGCAAAGCAGGTCCAAGTACCCCACATCACCTCGAGTTGAGGCCCGATTCCCATGCATTGACTCCAGAGCCATTCCCCGTACCCCATTAAACACCACCAGTGGCTTGACTTCCTTCAGGCAACTCCAGAGATGCCCCGAGAACACTGTCCCAAGTCTAGAGGAATACGAACTTCAGCACAGCAACTCGAGGAATGCTCCGTGTACCCCAAATCGTCTCGAGATGAGAGCTGATTCCCTGGCTTAGGCTCAAGACGTATGCCAACTTTCCAGAAGCACCTCAAGGGGAGCCTTCTCTCAGCAATAGGTATGTTGGAGGGACCCCCAGTTTGCTGCCTCAAGTGGAATATACAGCGAGAAGCCCTAACTTGAAAGGAGGCCGGATTTCCTTGCAGTGGCTTGAATACATGCTCGTCTTTCATCTCACAGCATGAAGGGATGTCTGAATCCCCTGTGGAGACCTTAGAGAAAGCTCTAGGTCCCTGCCTCATTTTGACGGAATGCCTCACATCCTGTTGACACTTCGAGAGGCACGCGGAATTCACTGCTTCAAAAGGTGATGATGCCTGACTCGTCTTGAATATTGATAGGAATCCCAAAATCCCTGTGGCTATTTGAAAGGTTCCTTGGGTGTCCTGCCTCACCTCGAGAAGCGTCCCTTGTGCCTGCCAAGCCTCGAAGAGATTCCTGAGCTGTCCCTCGTTACTGGACAGGAGTCCTGACGTCACTGAATAAACAGGAGTTTTTAAGGGCCATCCCCGCTGTAACCCGAGTACATATCCCAGGTCCCCGCCGCAAGTCGAGAAAAACCATGAGACTTTCCCCTAGTGGCGAGATGAGGCCCGATTCTCCTGCAGTGCCTGCAGAGCAATTCCGTGATCCCCATCAAACAAGTTAGGACCCTCGACTTGCTTAATGGATCTCGAGACAGTCCCCAAGAATACTGTCACATGTCTAGACGGATCCTGAGGTCACCCCATCAACGCAAAGCAGCACCATGTGCCCCACATCAACTCGAGATAATCCCCGATTCCCCTGCATTGACTCCAGAGCCATCCCCCGTTCCACATTAAACACCACCAGTGGCTTGACTTCCTTCAGACAACTCCAGAGATGCCCTGAGAACACTGTCCCAAGTCTAGAGGAACACCATCTTCAGCACAGCAACTCGAGGAATGCTCCGTGTACCCCAAATCGTCTCGAGATGAGAGGTGATTCCATGGCTTAGGCTCAAGACGTATGCCAACTTTCCAGAAGCACCTCAAGGGGAGGCTTCTCTCAGCAATAGGTATGTTGGAGGGACCCCCAGTTTGCTGCCTCAAGTGGAATATGCAGCGAGAAGCCCTAACTTGAAAGGAGGCCGGGTTTCCTTGCAGTGTCTTGAATACAGGCTCGTCTTTCAGCTCACAACGGGAAGGAATGTCTGAATCCCCTGTGGAGACCTTAGCGAAAGCCCTAGGTCCCTGCCTCATTTTGACGGATTGCCTCACATCCCGTTGACACCTCGAGAGGCACACGGAGTACACTGCTTCAAATGTGACGATGCCTGACTCCTCCTGAACATTGATAGGAATCCCAAAATCACTGTGGCTACAGGAAAGGGTTCTTGTGTGCCCTGCATCACCTCGAGAAGCATCCCTTTTGCCCTGCCAAGGCTCGAAAAGATTCATGAGGTGTCCCTCATTACTAGACAGGAGTCATGACGTCACTGAATAAACACGTGTTTTCAAGGGCCAAGCCCGCCATAACTCGAGAACATACCCCACGTACCGCCGCGACTCGAGAAAAACCATGAGACTTCCCCTAGATGCGATATGAGGCCTGATTCCCTGCTGTCCATGCAGAGCATTCCTGTGATCCCAATCAAGCAAGTCAGCAGCTTCGAATTGCTTAATGGATCTCGAGAGAGTAACCAGGAACACTGTCACAAGTCTAGACAGACCCTGACATCACCCCAGCAAAGCAAAGCAGGTCCAAGTACCCCACATCACCTCGAGTTGGGGCCCGATTCCCATGCATTGACTCCAGAGCCATCACCCGTACCCTAATAAACACCACCAGTGGCTTGACTTCCTTCAGGCAACTCCAGAGATGCCCCGAGAACACAGTCCCAATTCTAGAGGAATACGAAGTTCAGCACAGCAACTCGAGGAATGCTCCGTGTACCCCAAATCGTTTCGAGGTGAGAGCTGATTCCATGGCTTAGGCTCAAGACGTATGCCAACTTTCCAGAAGCACCTCAAGCGGAGGATTCTCTCAGCAATAGGTATGTTGGAGGGACCCCCACTTTGCTGCCTCAAGTGGAATATACAGCGAGAAGCCCTAACTTGAAAGGAGGCCGGATTTCCTTGCAGTGGCTTGAATACAGGCTCGTCTTTCATCTCACAGCATGAAGGGATGTCTGAATCCCCTGTGGAGACCTTAAAGAAAGCTCTAGGTCCCTGCCTCATTTTGACGGAATACCTCACATCCCGTTGACACTTCGAGAGGCACGCGGAATTCACTGCTTCAAAAGGTGATGATGCCTGACTCGTCTTGAATATTGATAGGAATCCCAAAACCCCTGTGGCTATTTGAAAGGTTCCTTGGGTGTCCTGCCTCACCTCGAGAAGCGTCCCTTGTGCCTGCCAAGCCTCGAAGAGATTCCTGAGCTGTCCCTCGTTACTGGACAGGAGTCCTGACGTCACTGAATAAACAGGAGTTTTTAAGGGCCATCCCCGCTGTAACCCGAGTACATACCCCTGGTCCCCGCCGCAAGTCGAGAAAAACCATGAGACTTTCCCCTAGTGGCGAGATGAGGCCCGATTCTCCTGCAGTGCATGCAGAGCAATTCCGTGATACCCATCAAACAAGTCAGGACCTTCGACTTGCTTAATGGATCTCGAGACAGTCCCCAAGAATACTGTCACATGTCTAGACGGATCCTGAGGTAAACCCATCAATGCAAAGCAGCACCATGTGCCCCACATCAACTCGAGATAATGCCCGATTCCCCTGCATTGATTCCAGAGCCATCCCCCGTTCCACATTAAACACCACCAGTGGCTTGACTTCCTTCAGACATTCCAGAGATGCCCTGAGAACACTGTCCAAAGTCTAGAGGAACACCATCTTCAGCACAGCAACTCGAGGAATGCTCCGTGTACCCCAAATCGTCTCGAGATGAGAGCTGATTCCCTGGCTTAGGCTCAAGACGTATGCCAACTTTCCAGAAGCACCTCAAGGGGAGGCTTCTCTCAGCAATAGGTATGTTGGAGGACCCCAGTTTGCTGCCTCAAGTGGAATATGCAGCGAGAAGCCCTAACTTGAAAGGAGGCCGGGTTTCCTTGCAGTGTCTTGAATACAGGCTCGTCTTTCATCTCACAACGGGAAGGAATGTCTGAATCCCCTGTGGAGACCTTAGCGAAAGCCCTAGGTCCCTGCCTCATTTTGACGGATTGCCTCACATCCCGTTGACACCTCGAGAGGCACACGGAGTTCACTGCTTCAAATGTGACGATGCCTGACTCCTCCTGAACATTGATAGGAATCCCAAAATCACTGTGGCTACAGGAAAGGGTTCTTGTGTGCCCTGCCTCACCTCGAGAAGCATCCCTTTTGCCCTGCCAAGGCTCGAAGAGATTCCTGAGGTGTCCCTCATTACTAGACAGGAGTCATGACGTCACTGAATAAACACGTGTTTTCAAGGGCCAAGCCCGCCATAACTCGAGAACATACCCCACGTACCGCCGCGACTCGAGAAAAACCAGGAGACTTCCCCTAGATGCGATATGAGGCCTGATTCCCTGCAGTCCATGCAGAGCATTCCCGTGATCCCAATGAAGCAAGTCAGCAGCTTCGAATTGCTTAATGGATTTCGAGAGAGTCGCCAGGAACACTGTCACAAGTCTAGACAGACCCTGACATCACCCCAGCAAAGCAAAGCAGGTCCAAGTACCCCAAATCACCTCGAGTTGAGGCCCGATTCCCATGCATTGACTCCAGAGCCATCCCCCGTACCCCATTAAACACCACCAGTGGCTTGACTTCCTTCAGGCAACTCCAGAGATGCCCCGAGAACACTGTCCCAAGTCTAGAGGAATACGAACTTCAGCACAGCAACTCGAGTAATGCTCGGTTTACCCCAAATCGTTTCGAGGTGAGAGCTGATTCCATGGCTTAGGCTCAAGACGTATGCCAACTTTCCAGAAGCACCTCAAGCGGAGGATTCTCTCAGCAATAGATATGTTGGAGGGACCCCCACTTTGCTGCCTCAAGTGGAATATACAGCAAGAAGCCCTAACTTGAAAGGAGGCCGGATTTCCTTGTAGTGTCTTGAATACAGGCTCGTCTTTCATCTCACAATCGGAAGGGATGTCTGAATCCCCTGTGTAGAACTTAGAGAAAGCCCTAGGTCCCTGCCTCATTTTGACGGATTGCCTCACATCCCGTTGACACCTCGAAAGGCACGCGGAGTTCACTGCTTCAAAAGGTGATGATGCCTGACTCGTCTTGAATTTTGATAGGAATCCCAAAATCCCTGTGGCTATTTGAAAGGTTCCTTGGGTGTCCTGCCTCACCTCGAGAAGCGTCCCTTGTGCCTGCCAAGCCTCGAAGAGATTCCTGAGCTGTCCCTCGTTACTGGACAGGAGTCCTGACGTCACTGAATAAACAGGAGTTTTTAAGGGCCATCCCCGCTGTAACCCGAGTACATACCCCAGGTCCCTGCCGCAAGTCGAGAAAAACCATGAGACTTTCCCCTAGTGGCGAGATGAGGCCCGATTCTCCTGCAGTGCATGCAGAGCAATTCCGTGATCCCCATCAAACAAGTCAGGACCTTCGACTTGCTTAATGGATCTCGAGACAGTCCCCAAGAATACGGTTCATGTCTAGATGGATCCTGAGGTCACCCCATCAACGCAAAGCAGCACCATGTGCCCCACATCAACTCGAGATAATGCCCGATTCCCCTGCATTGACTGCAGAGCCATCCCCCGTTCCACATTAAACACCACCAGTGGCTTGACTTCCTTCAGACAACTCCAGAGATGCCCTGAGAACACTGTCCCAAGTCTAGAGGAACACCATCTTCAGCACAGCAACTCGAGGAATGCTCCGTGTACCCCAAATCGTCTCGAGATGAGAGCTGATTCCCTGGCTTAGGCTCAAGACGTATGCCAACTTTCCAGAAGCACCTCAAGGGGAGGCTTCTCTCAGCAATAGGTATGTTGGAGGGACCCCCAGTTTGCTGCCTCAAGTGGAATATGCAGCGAGAAGCCCTAACTTGAAAGGAGGCCGGGTTTCCTTGCAGTGTCTTGAATACAGGCTCGTCTTTCATCTCACAACGGGAAGGAATGTCTGAATCCCCTGTGGAGAACTTAGCGAAAGACCTAGGTCCCTGCCTCATTTTGACGGATTGCCTCACATCCCGTTGACACCTCGAGAGGCACCCGGAGTTCACTGCTTCAAATGTGATGATGCCTGACTCCTCCTGAACATTGATAGGAATCCCAAAATCACTGTGGCTACTGGAAAGGGTTCTTGTGTGCCCTGCCTCACCTCGAGAAGCATCCCTTTTGCCCTGCCAAGGCTCGAAAAGATTCCTGAGGTGTCCCTCATTACTAGACAGGAGTCATGACGTCACTGAATAAACACGTGTTTTCAAGGGCCAAGCCCGCCATAACTCGAGAACATACCCCACGTACCGCCGCGACTCGAGAAAAACCATGAGACTTCCCCTAGATGCGATATGAGGCCTGATTCTCTGCAGTCCATGCAGAGCATTCCCGTGATCCCAATCAAGCAAGTCAGCAGCTTCGAATTGCTTAATGGATCTCGAGAGAGTTCCCACGAACACTGTCACAAGTCTAGACAGACCCTGACATCACCCAAGCAAAGCAAAGCAGGTCCAAGTACCCCACATCACCTCGAGTTGAGGCCCGATTCCCATGCATTGACTCCAGAGCCATCCCCCGTACCCCATTAAACACCACCAGTGGCTTGACTTCCTTCAGGCAACTCCAGAGATGCCCCGAGAACACTGTCCCACGTCTAGAGGAATACGAACTTCAGCACAGCAACTCGAGGAATGCTCCGTGTACCCCAAATCGTTTCGAGGTGAGAGCTGATTCCATGGCTTAGGCTCAAGACGTATGCAAACTTTCCAGAAGCACCTCAAGCGGAGGATTCTCTCAGCAATAGATATGTTGGAGGGACCCCCACTTTGCGGCCTCAAGTGGAATATACAGCGAGAAGCCCTAACTTGAAAGGAGGCCGGGTTTCCTTGCAGTGTCTTGAATACAGGCTCGTCTTTCATCTCACAACGGGAAGGAATGTCTGAATCCCCTGTGGAGACCTTAGCGAAAGCCCTAGGTCCCTGCCTCATTTTGACGGATTGCCTCACATCCCGTTGACACCTCGAGAGGCACCCGGAGTTCACTGCTTCAAATGTGACGATGCCTGACTCCTCCTGAACATTGATAGGAATCCCAAAATCACTGTGGCTACAGTAAAGGGTTCTTGTGTGCCCTGCCTCACCTCGAGAAGCATCCCTTTTGCCCTGCCAAGGCTCGAAAAGATTCCTGAGGTGTCCCTCATTACTAGACAGGAGTCATGACGTCACTGAATAAACACGTGTTTTCAAGGGCCAAGCCCGCCATAACTCGAGAACATACCCCACGTACCGCCGCGACTCGAGAAAAACCAGGAGACTTCCCCTAGATGCGATATGAGGCCTGATTCCCTGCAGTCCATGCAGAGCATTCCTGTGATCCCAATCAAGCAAGTCAGCAGCTTCGAATTGCTTAATGGATCTCGAGAGAGTCCCCAGGAACACTGTCACAAGTCTAGACAGACCCTGACATCACCCCAGCAAAGCAAAGCAGGTCCAAGTACCCCACATCACCTCGAGTTGAGGCCCGATTCCCATGCATTGACTCCAGAGCCATTCCCCGTACCCCATTAAACACCACCAGTGGCTTGACTTCCTTCAGGCAACTCCAGAGATGCCCCGAGAACACTGTCCCAAGTCTAGAGGAATACGAACTTCAGCACAGCAACTCGAGGAATGCTCCGTGTACCCCAAATCGTCTCGAGATGAGAGCTGATTCCCTGGCTTAGGCTCAAGACGTATGCCAACTTTCCAGAAGCACCTCAAGGGGAGCCTTCTCTCAGCAATAGGTATGTTGGAGGGACCCCCAGTTTGCTGCCTCAAGTGGAATATACAGCGAGAAGCCCTAACTTGAAAGGAGGCCGGATTTCCTTGCAGTGGCTTGAATACAGGCTCGTCTTTCATCTCACAGCATGAAGGGATGTCTGAATCCCCTGTGGAGACCTTAGAGAAAGCTCTAGGTCCCTGCCTCATTTTGACGGAATGCCTCACATCCCGTTGACACTTCGAGAGGCACGCGGAATTCACTGCTTCAAAAGGTGATGATGCCTGACTCGTCTTGAATATTGATAGGAATCCCAAAATCCCTGTGGCTATTTGAAAGGTTCCTTGGGTGTCCTGCCTCACCTCGAGAAGCGTCCCTTGTGCCTGCCAAGCCTCGAAGAGATTCCTGAGCTGTCCCTCGTTACTGGACAGGAGTCCTGACGTCACTGAATAAACAGGAGTTTTTAAGGGCCATCCCCGCTGTAACCCGAGTACATATCCCAGGTCCCCGCCGCAAGTCGAGAAAAACCATGAGACTTTCCCCTAGTGGCGAGATGAGGCCCGATTCTCCTGCAGTGCCTGCAGAGCAATTCTGTGATCCCCATCAAACAAGTTAGGACCTTCGACTTGCTTAATGGATCTCGAGACAGTCCCCAAGAATACTGTCACATGTCTAGACGGATCCTGAGGTCACCCCATCAACGCAAAGCAGCACCATGTGCCCCACATCAACTCGAGATAATCCCCGATTCCCCTGCATTGACTCCAGAGCCATCCCCCGTTCCACATTAAACACCACCAGTGGCTTGACTTCCTTCAGACAACTCCAGAGATGCCCTGAGAACACTGTCCCAAGTCTAGAGGAACACCATCTTCAGCACAGCAACTCGAGGAATGCTCCGTGTACCCCAAATCGTCTCGAGATGAGAGGTGATTCCATGGCTTAGGCTCAAGACGTATGCCAACTTTCCAGAAGCACCTCAAGGGGAGGCTTCTCTCAGCAATAGGTATGTTGGAGGGACCCCCAGTTTGCTGCCTCAAGTGGAATATGCAGCGAGAAGCCCTAACTTGAAAGGAGGCCGGGTTTCCTTGCAGTGTCTTGAATACAGGCTCGTCTTTCAGCTCACAACGGGAAGGAATGTCTGAATCCCCTGTGGAGACCTTAGCGAAAGCCCTAGGTCCCTGCCTCATTTTGACGGATTGCCTCACATCCCGTTGACACCTCGAGAGGCACACGGAGTACACTGCTTCAAATGTGACGATGCCTGACTCCTCCTGAACATTGATAGGAATCCCAAAATCACTGTGGCTACAGGAAAGGGTTCTTGTGTGCCCTGCATCACCTCGAGAAGCATCGCTTTTGCCCTGCCAAGGCTCGAAAAGATTCATGAGGTGTCCCTCATTACTAGACAGGAGTCATGACGTCACTGAATAAACACGTGTTTTCAAGGGCCAAGCCCGCCATAACTCGAGAACATACCCCACGTACCGCCGCGACTCGAGAAAAACCATGAGACTTCCCCTAGATGCGATATGAGGCCTGATTCCCTGCTGTCCATGCAGAGCATTCCTGTGATCCCAATCAAGCAAGTCAGCAGCTTCGAATTGCTTAATGGATCTCGAGAGAGTAACCAGGAACACTGTCACAAGTCTAGACAGACCCTGACATCACCCCAGCAAAGCAAAGCAGGTCCAAGTACCCCACATCACCTCGAGTTGGGGCCCGATTCCCATGCATTGACTCCAGAGCCATCACCCGTACCCTAATAAACACCACCAGTGGCTTGACTTCCTTCAGGCAACTCCAGAGATGCCCCGAGAACACAGTCCCAATTCTAGAGGAATACGAAGTTCAGCACAGCAACTCGAGGAATGCTCCGTGTACCCCAAATCGTTTCGAGGTGAGAGCTGATTCCATGGCTTAGGCTCAAGACGTATGCCAACTTTCCAGAAGCACCTCAAGCGGAGGATTCTCTCAGCAATAGGTATGTTGGAGGGACCCCCACTTTGCTGCCTCAAGTGGAATATACAGCGAGAAGCCCTAACTTGAAAGGAGGCCGGATTTCCTTGCAGTGGCTTGAATACAGGCTCGTCTTTCATCTCACAGCATGAAGGGATGTCTGAATCCCCTGTGGAGACCTTAAAGAAAGCTCTAGGTCCCTGCCTCATTTTGACGGAATACCTCACATCCCGTTGACACTTCGAGAGGCACGCGGAATTCACTGCTTCAAAAGGTGATGATGCCTGACTCGTCTTGAATATTGATAGGAATCCCAAAACCCCTGTGGCTATTTGAAAGGTTCCTTGGGTGTCCTGCCTCACCTCGAGAAGCGTCCCTTGTGCCTGCCAAGCCTCGAAGAGATTCCTGAGCTGTCCCTCGTTACTGGACAGGAGTCCTGACGTCACTGAATAAACAGGAGTTTTTAAGGGCCATCCCCGCTGTAACCCGAGTACATACCCCTGGTCCCCGCCGCAAGTCGAGAAAAACCATGAGACTTTCCCCTAGTGGCGAGATGAGGCCCGATTCTCCTGCAGTGCATGCAGAGCAATTCCGTGATACCCATCAAACAAGTCAGGACCTTCGACTTGCTTAATGGATCTCGAGACAGTCCCCAAGAATACTGTCACATGTCTAGACGGATCCTGAGGTAAACCCATCAATGCAAAGCAGCACCATGTGCCCCACATCAACTCGAGATAATGCCCGATTCCCCTGCATTGATTCCAGAGCCATCCCCCGTTCCACATTAAACACCACCAGTGGCTTGACTTCCTTCAGACATTCCAGAGATGCCCTGAGAACACTGTCCAAAGTCTAGAGGAACACCATCTTCAGCACAGCAACTCGAGGAATGCTCCGTGTACCCCAAATCGTCTCGAGATGAGAGCTGATTCCCTGGCTTAGGCTCAAGACGTATGCCAACTTTCCAGAAGCACCTCAAGGGGAGGCTTCTCTCAGCAATAGGTATGTTGGAGGACCCCAGTTTGCTGCCTCAAGTGGAATATGCAGCGAGAAGCCCTAACTTGAAAGGAGGCCGGGTTTCCTTGCAGTGTCTTGAATACAGGCTCGTCTTTCATCTCACAACGGGAAGGAATGTCTGAATCCCCTGTGGAGACCTTAGCGAAAGCCCTAGGTCCCTGCCTCATTTTGACGGATTGCCTCACATCCCGTTGACACCTCGAGAGGCACACGGAGTTCACTGCTTCAAATGTGACGATGCCTGACTCCTCCTGAACATTGATAGGAATCCCAAAATCACTGTGGCTACAGGAAAGGGTTCTTGTGTGCCCTGCCTCACCTCGAGAAGCATCCCTTTTGCCCTGCCAAGGCTCGAAGAGATTCCTGAGGTGTCCCTCATTACTAGACAGGAGTCATGACGTCACTGAATAAACACGTGTTTTCAAGGGCCAAGCCCGCCATAACTCGAGAACATACCCCACGTACCGCCGCGACTCGAGAAAAACCAGGAGACTTCCCCTAGATGCGATATGAGGCCTGATTCCCTGCAGTCCATGCAGAGCATTCCCGTGATCCCAATGAAGCAAGTCAGCAGCTTCGAATTGCTTAATGGATTTCGAGAGAGTCGCCAGGAACACTGTCACAAGTCTAGACAGACCCTGACATCACCCCAGCAAAGCAAAGCAGGTCCAAGTACCCCAAATCACCTCGAGTTGAGGCCCGATTCCCATGCATTGACTCCAGAGCCATCCCCCGTACCCCATTAAACACCACCAGTGGCTTGACTTCCTTCAGGCAACTCCAGAGATGCCCCGAGAACACTGTCCCAAGTCTAGAGGAATACGAACTTCAGCACAGCAACTCGAGTAATGCTCGGTTTACCCCAAATCGTTTCGAGGTGAGAGCTGATTCCATGGCTTAGGCTCAAGACGTATGCCAACTTTCCAGAAGCACCTCAAGCGGAGGATTCTCTCAGCAATAGATATGTTGGAGGGACCCCCACTTTGCTGCCTCAAGTGGAATATACAGCAAGAAGCCCTAACTTGAAAGGAGGCCGGATTTCCTTGTAGTGTCTTGAATACAGGCTCGTCTTTCATCTCACAATCGGAAGGGATGTCTGAATCCCCTGTGTAGAACTTAGAGAAAGCCCTAGGTCCCTGCCTCATTTTGACGGATTGCCTCACATCCCGTTGACACCTCGAAAGGCACGCGGAGTTCACTGCTTCAAAAGGTGATGATGCCTGACTCGTCTTGAATTTTGATAGGAATCCCAAAATCCCTGTGGCTATTTGAAAGGTTCCTTGGGTGTCCTGCCTCACCTCGAGAAGCGTCCCTTGTGCCTGCCAAGCCTCGAAGAGATTCCTGAGCTGTCCCTCGTTACTGGACAGGAGTCCTGACGTCACTGAATAAACAGGAGTTTTTAAGGGCCATCCCCGCTGTAACCCGAGTACATACCCCAGGTCCCTGCCGCAAGTCGAGAAAAACCATGAGACTTTCCCCTAGTGGCGAGATGAGGCCCGATTCTCCTGCAGTGCATGCAGAGCAATTCCGTGATCCCCATCAAACAAGTCAGGACCTTCGACTTGCTTAATGGATCTCGAGACAGTCCCCAAGAATACGGTTCATGTCTAGATGGATCCTGAGGTCACCCCATCAACGCAAAGCAGCACCATGTGCCCCACATCAACTCGAGATAATGCCCGATTCCCCTGCATTGACTGCAGAGCCATCCCCCGTTCCACATTAAACACCACCAGTGGCTTGACTTCCTTCAGACAACTCCAGAGATGCCCTGAGAACACTGTCCCAAGTCTAGAGGAACACCATCTTCAGCACAGCAACTCGAGGAATGCTCCGTGTACCCCAAATCGTCTCGAGATGAGAGCTGATTCCCTGGCTTAGGCTCAAGACGTATGCCAACTTTCCAGAAGCACCTCAAGGGGAGGCTTCTCTCAGCAATAGGTATGTTGGAGGGACCCCCAGTTTGCTGCCTCAAGTGGAATATGCAGCGAGAAGCCCTAACTTGAAAGGAGGCCGGGTTTCCTTGCAGTGTCTTGAATACAGGCTCGTCTTTCATCTCACAACGGGAAGGAATGTCTGAATCCCCTGTGGAGAACTTAGCGAAAGACCTAGGTCCCTGCCTCATTTTGACGGATTGCCTCACATCCCGTTGACACCTCGAGAGGCACCCGGAGTTCACTGCTTCAAATGTGATGATGCCTGACTCCTCCTGAACATTGATAGGAATCCCAAAATCACTGTGGCTACTGGAAAGGGTTCTTGTGTGCCCTGCCTCACCTCGAGAAGCATCCCTTTTGCCCTGCCAAGGCTCGAAAAGATTCCTGAGGTGTCCCTCATTACTAGAAAGGAGTCATGACGTCACTGAATAAACACGTGTTTTCAAGGGCCAAGCCCGCCATAACTCGAGAACATACCCCACGTACCGCCGCGACTCGAGAAAAACCATGAGACTTCCCCTAGATGCGATATGAGGCCTGATTCTCTGCAGTCCATGCAGAGCATTCCCGTGATCCCAATCAAGCAAGTCAGCAGCTTCGAATTGCTTAATGGATCTCGAGAGAGTCCCCACGAACACTGTCACAAGTCTAGACAGACCCTGACATCACCCAAGCAAAGCAAAGCAGGTCCAAGTACCCCACATCACCTCGAGTTGAGGCCCGATTCCCATGCATTGACTCCAGAGCCATCCCCCGTACCCCATTAAACACCACCAGTGGCTTGACTTCCTTCATGCAACTCCAGAGATGCCCCGAGAACACTGTCCCACGTCTAGAGGAATACGAACTTCAGCACAGCAACTCGAGGAATGCTCCGTGTACCCCAAATCGTTTCGAGGTGAGAGCTGATTCCATGGCTTAGGCTCAAGACGTATGCAAACTTTCCAGAAGCACCTCAAGCGGAGGATTCTCTCAGCAATAGATATGTTGGAGGGACCCCCACTTTGCGGCCTCAAGTGGAATATACAGCGAGAAGCCCTAACTTGAAAGGAGGCCGGGTTTCCTTGCAGTGTCTTGAATACAGGCTCGTCTTTCATCTCACAACGGGAAGGAATGTCTGAATCCCCTGTGGAGACCTTAGCGAAAGCCCTAGGTCCCTGCCTCATTTTGACGGATTGCCTCACATCCCGTTGACACCTCGAGAGGCACCCGGAGTTCACTGCTTCAAATGTGACGATGCCTGACTCCTCCTGAACATTGATAGGAATCCCCAAATCACTGTGGCTACAGGAAAGGGTTCTTGTGTGCCCTGCCTCACCTCGAGAAGCATCCCTTTTGCCCTGCCAAGGCTCGAAAAGATTCCTGAGGTGTCCCTCATTACTAGACAGGAGTCATGACGTCACTGAATAAACACGTGTTTTCAAGGGCCAAGCCCGCCATAACTCGAGAACATACCCCACGTACCGCCGCGACTCGAGAAAAACCAGGAGACTTCCCCTAGATGCGATATGAGGCCTGATTCCCTGCAGTCCATGCAGAGCATTCCTGTGATCCCAATCAAGCAAGTCAGCAGCTTCGAATTGCTTAATGGATCTCGAGAGAGTCCCCAGGAACACTGTCACAAGTCTAGACAGACCCTGACATCACCCCAGCAAAGCAAAGCAGGTCCAAGTACCCCACATCACCTCGAGTTGAGGCCCGATTCCCATGCATTGACTCCAGAGCCATTCCCCGTACCCCATTAAACACCACCAGTGGCTTGACTTCCTTCAGGCAACTCCAGAGATGCCCCGAGAACACTGTCCCAAGTCTAGAGGAATACGAACTTCAGCACAGCAACTCGAGGAATGCTCCGTGTACCCCAAATCGTCTCGAGATGAGAGCTGATTCCCTGGCTTAGGCTCAAGACGTATGCCAACTTTCCAGAAGCACCTCAAGGGGAGCCTTCTCTCAGCAATAGGTATGTTGGAGGGACCCCCAGTTTGCTGCCTCAAGTGGAATATACAGCGAGAAGCCCTAACTTGAAAGGAGGCCGGATTTCCTTGCAGTGGCTTGAATACAGGCTCGTCTTTCATCTCACAGCATGAAGGGATGTCTGAATCCCCTGTGGAGACCTTAGAGAAAGCTCTAGGTCCCTGCCTAATTTTGACGGAATGCCTCACATCCCGTTGACACTTCGAGAGGCACGCGGAATTCACTGCTTCAAAAGGTGATGATGCCTGACTCGTCTTGAATATTGATAGGAATCCCAAAATCCCTGTGGCTATTTGAAAGGTTCCTTGGGTGTCCTGCCTCACCTCGAGAAGCGTCCCTTGTGCCTGCCAAGCCTCGAAGAGATTCCTGAGCTGTCCCTCGTTACTGGACAGGAGTCCTGACGTCACTGAATAAACAGGAGTTTTTAAGGGCCATCCCCGCTGTAACCCGAGTACATACCCCAGGTCCCCGCCGCAAGTCGAGAAAAACCATGAGACTTTCCCCTAGTGGCGAGATGAGGCCCGATTCTCCTGCAGTGCCTGCAGAGCAATTCCGTGATCCCCATCAAACAAGTTAGGACCTTCGACTTGCTTAATGGATCTCGAGACAGTCCCCAAGAATACTGTCACATGTCTAGACGGATCCTGAGGTCACCCCATCAACGCAAAGCAGCACCATGTGCCCCACATCAACTCGAGATAATCCCCGATTCCCCTGCATTGACTCCAGAGCCATCCCCCGTTCCACATTAAACACCACCAGTGGCTTGACTTCCTTCAGACAACTCCAGAGATGCCCTGAGAACACTGTCCCAAGTCTAGAGGAACACCATCTTCAGCACAGCAACTCGAGGAATGCTCCGTGTACCCCTAATCGTCTCGAGATGAGAGGTGATTCCATGGCTTAGGCTCAAGACGTATGCCAACTTTCCAGAAGCACCTCAAGGGGAGGCTTCTCTCAGCAATAGGTATGTTGGAGGGACCCCCAGTTTGCTGCCTCAAGTGGAATATGCAGCGAGAAGCCCTAACTTGAAAGGAGGCCGGGTTTCCTTGCAGTGTCTTGAATACAGGCTCGTCTTTCATCTCACAACGGGAAGGAATGTCTGAATCCCCTGTGGAGACCTTAGCGAAAGCCCTAGGTCCCTGCCTCATTTTGACGGATTGCCTCACATCCCGTTGACACCTCGAGAGGCACACGGAGTACACTGCTTCAAATGTGACGATGCCTGACTCCTCCTGAACATTGATAGGAATCCCAAAATCACTGTGGCTACAGGAAAGGGTTCTTGTGTGCCCTGCATCACCTCGAGAAGCATCCCTTTTGCCCTGCCAAGGCTCGAAAAGATTCATGAGGTGTCCCTCATTACTAGACAGGAGTCATGACGTCACTGAATAAACACGTGTTTTCAAGGGCCAAGCCCGCCATAACTCGAGAACATACCCCACGTACCGCCGCGACTCGAGAAAAACCATGAGACTTCCCCTAGATGCGATATGAGGCCTGATTCCCTGCTGTCCATGCAGAGCATTCCTGTGATCCCAATCAAGCAAGTCAGCAGCTTCGAATTGCTTAATGGATCTCGAGAGAGTAACCAGGAACACTGTCACAAGTCTAGACAGACCCTGACATCACCCCAGCAAAGCAAAGCAGGTCCAAGTACCCCACATCACCTCGAGTTGGGGCCCGATTCCCATGCATTGACTCCAGAGCCATCACCCGTACCCTATTAAACACCACCAGTGGCTTGACTTCCTTCAGGCAACTCCAGAGATGCCCCGAGAACACAGTCCCAATTCTAGAGGAATACGAAGTTCAGCACAGCAACTCGAGGAATGCTCCGTGTACCCCAAATCGTTTCGAGGTGAGAGCTGATTCCATGGCTTAGGCTCAAGACGTATGCCAACTTTCCAGAAGCCCCTCAAGCGGAGGATTCTCTCAGCAATAGGTATGTTGGAGGGACCCCCACTTTGCTGCCTCAAGTGGAATATACAGCGAGAAGCCCTAACTTGAAAGGAGGCCGGATTTCCTTGCAGTGGCTTGAATACAGGCTCGTCTTTCATCTCACAGCATGAAGGGATGTCTGAATCCCCTGTGGAGACCTTAAAGAAAGCTCTAGGTCCCTGCCTCATTTTGACGGAATACCTCACATCCCGTTGACACTTCGAGAGGCACGCGGAATTCACTGCTTCAAAAGGTGATGATGCCTGACTCGTCTTGAATATTGATAGGAATCCCAAAACCCCTGTGGCTATTTGAAAGGTTCCTTGGGTGTCCTGCCTCACCTCGAGAAGCGTCCCTTGTGCCTGCCAAGCCTCGAAGAGATTCCTGAGCTGTCCCTCGTTACTGGACAGGAGTTCTGACGTCACTGAATAAACAGGAGTTTTTAAGGGCCATCCCCGCTGTAACCCGAGTACATACCTCTGGTCCCCGCCGCAAGTCGAGAAAAACCATGAGACTTTCCCCTAGTGGCGAGATGAGGCCCGATTCTCCTGCAGTGCATGCAGAGCAATTCCGTGATACCCATCAAACAAGTCAGGACCTTCGACTTGCTTAATGGATCTCGAGACAGTCCCCAAGAATACTGTCACATGTCTAGACGGATCCTGAGGTAAACCCATCAATGCAAAGCAGCACCATGTGCCCCACATCAACTCGAGATAATGCCCGATTCCCCTGCATTGATTTCAGAGCCATCCCTCGTTCCACATTAAACACCACCAGTGGCTTGACTTCCTTCAGACATTCCAGAGATGCGCTGAGAACACTGTCCAAAGTCTAGAGGAACACCATCTTCAGCACAGCAACTCGAGGAATGCTCCGTGTACCCCAAATCGTCTCGAGATGAGAGCTGATTCCCTGGCTTAGGCTCAAGACGTATGCCAACTTTCCAGAAGCACCTCAAGGGGAGGCTTCTCTCAGCAATAGGTATGTTGGAGGACCCCAGTTTGCTGCCTCAAGTGGAATATGCAGCGAGAAGCCCTAACTTGAAAGGAGGCCGGGTTTCCTTGCAGTGTCTTGAATACAGGCTCGTCTTTCATCTCACAACGGGAAGGAATGTCTGAATCCCCTGTGGAGACCTTAGCGAAAGCCCTAGGTCCCTGCCTCATTTTGACGGATTGCCTCACATCCCGTTGAAACCTCGAGAGGCACACGGAGTTCACTGCTTCAAATGTGACGATGCCTGACTCCTCCTGAACATTGATAGGAATCCCAAAATCACTGTGGCTACAGGAAAGGGTTCTTGTGTGCCCTGCCTCACCTCGAGAAGCATCCCTTTTGCCCTGCCAAGGCTCGAAGAGATTCCTGAGGTGTCCCTCATTACTAGACAGGAGTCATGACGTCACTGAATAAACACGTGTTTTCAAGGGCCAAGCCCGCCATAACTCGAGAACATACCCCACGTACCGCCGCGACTCGAGAAAAACCAGGAGACTTCCCCTAGATGCGATATGAGGCCTGATTCCCTGCAGTCCATGCAGAGCATTCCCGTGATCCCAATGAAGCAAGTCAGCAGCTTCGAATTGCTTAATGGATTTCGAGAGAGTCCCCACGAACACTGTCACAAGTCTAGACAGACCCTGACATCACCCCAGCAAAGCAAAGCAGGTCCAAGTACCCCACATCACCTCGAGTTGAGGCCCGATTCCCATGCATTGACTCCAGAGCCATCCCCCGTACCCCATTAAACACCACCAGTGGCTTGACTTCCTTCAGGCAACTCCAGAGATGCCCCGAGAACACTGTCCCAAGTCTAGAGGAATACGAACTTCAGCACAGCAACTCGAGTAATGCTCGGTGTACCCCAAATCGTTTCGAGGTGAGAGCTGATTCCATGGCTTAGGCTCAAGACGTATGCCAACTTTCCAGAAGCACCTCAAGCGGAGGATTCTCTCAGCAATAGATATGTTGGAGGGACCCCCACTTTGCTGCCTCAAGTGGAATATACAGCAAGAAGCCCTAACTTGAAAGGAGGCCGGATTTCCTTGTAGTGTCTTGAATACAGGCTCGTCTTTCATCTCACAACCGGAAGGGATGTCTGAATCCCCTGTGTAGAACTTAGAGAAAGCCCTAGGTCCCTGCCTCATTTTGACGGATTGCCTCACATCCCGTTGACACCTCGAAAGGCACGCGGAGTTCACTGCTTCAAAAGGTGATGATGCCTGACTCGTCTTGAATTTTGATAGGAATCCCAAAATCCCTGTGGCTATTTGAAAGGTTCCTTGGGTGTCCTGCCTCACCTCGAGAAGCGTCCCTTGTGCCTGCCAAGCCTCGAAGAGATTCCTGAGCTGTCCCTCGTTACTGGACAGGAGTCCTGACGTCACTGAATAAACAGGAGTTTTTAAGGGCCATCCCCGCTGTAACCCGAGTACATACCCCAGGTCCCTGCCGCAAGTCGAGAAAAACCATGAGACTTTCCCCTAGTGGCGAGATGAGGCCCGATTCTCCTGCAGTGCATGCAGAGCAATTCCGTGATCCCCATCAAACAAGTCAGGACCTTCGACTTGCTTAATGGATCTCGAGACAGTCCCCAAGAATACGGTTCATGTCTAGATGGATCCTGAGGTCACCCCATCAACGCAAAGCAGCACCATGTGCCCCACATCAACTCGAGATAATGCCCGATTCCCCTGCATTGACTGCGGAGCCATCCCCCGTTCCACATTAAACACCACCAGTGGCTTGACTTCCTTCAGACAACTCCAGAGATGCCCTGAGAACACTGTCCCAAGTCTAGAGGAACACCATCTTCAGCACAGCAACTCGAGGAATGCTCCGTGTACCCCAAATCGTCTCGAGATGAGAGCTGATTCCCTGGCTTAGGCTCAAGACGTATGCCAACTTTCCAGAAGCACCTCAAGGGGAGGCTTCTCTCAGCAATAGGTATGTTGGAGGGACCCCCAGTTTGCTGCCTCAAGTGGAATATGCAGCGAGAAGCCCTAACTTGAAAGGAGGCCGGGTTTCCTTGCAGTGTCTTGAATACAGGCTCGTCTTTCATCTCACAACGGGAAGGAATGTCTGAATCCCCTGTGGAGAACTTAGCGAAAGACCTAGGTCCCTGCCTCATTTTGACGGATTGCCTCACATCCCGTTGACACCTCGAGAGGCACCCGGAGTTCACTGCTTCAAATGTGATGATGCCTGACTCCTCCTGAACATTGATAGGAATCCCAAAATCACTGTGGCTACTGGAAAGGGTTCTTGTGTGCCCTGCCTCACCTCGAGAAGCATCCCTTTTGCCCTGCCAAGGCTCGAAAAGATTCCTGAGGTGTCCCTCATTACTAGACAGGAGTCATGACGTCACTGAATAAACAGGTGTTTTCAAGGGCCAAGCCCGCCATAACTCGAGAACATACCCCACGTACCGCCGCGACTCGAGAAAAACCATGAGACTTCCCCTAGATGCGATATGAGGCCTGATTCTCTGCAGTCCATGCAGAGCATTCCCGTGATCCCAATCAAGCAAGTCAGCAGCTTCGAATTGCTTAATGGATCTCGAGAGAGTCCCCAAGAACACTGTCACAAGTCTAGACAGACCCTGACATCACCCAAGCAAAGCAAAGCAGGTCCAAGTACCCCACATCACCTCGAGTTGAGGCCCGATTCCCATGCATTGACTCCAGAGCCATCCCCCGTACCCCATTAAACACCACCAGTGGCTTGACTTCCTTCAGGCAACTCCAGAGATGCCCCGAGAACACTGTCCCACGTCTAGAGGAATACGAACTTCAGCACAGCAACTCGAGGAATGCTCCGTGTACCCCAAATCGTTTCGAGGTGAGAGCTGATTCCATGGCTTAGGCTCAAGACGTATGCAAACTTTCCAGAAGCACCTCAAGCGGAGGATTCTCTCAGCAATAGATATGTTGGAGGGACCCCCACTTTGCGGCCTCAAGTGGAATATACAGCGAGAAGCCCTAACTTGAAAGGAGGCCGGGTTTCCTTGCAGTGTCTTGAATACAGGCTCGTCTTTCATCTCACAACGGGAAGGAATGTCTGAATCCCCTGTGGAGACCTTAGCGAAAGCCCTAGGTCCCTGCCTCATTTTGACGGATTGCCTCACATCCCGTTGACACCTCGAGAGGCACCCGGAGTTCACTGCTTCAAATGTGACGATGCCTGACTCCTCCTGAACATTGATAGGAATCCCCAAATCACTGTGGCTACAGGAAAGGGTTCTTGTGTGCCCTGCCTCACCTCGAGAAGCATCCCTTTTGCCCTGCCAAGTCTCGAAAAGATTCCTGAGGTGTCCCTCATTACTAGACAGGAGTCATGACGTCACTGAATAAACACGTGTTTTCAAGGGCCAAGCCCGCCATAACTCGAGAACATACCCCACGTACCGCCGCGACTCGAGAAAAACCAGGAGACTTCCCCTAGATGCGATATGAGGCCTGATTCCCTGCAGTCCATGCAGAGCATTCCTGTGATCCCAATCAAGCAAGTCAGCAGCTTCGAATTGCTTAATGGATCTCGAGAGAGTCCCCAGGAACACTGTCACAAGTCTAGACAGACCCTGACATCACCCCAGCAAAGCAAAGCAGGTCCAAGTACCCCACATCACCTCGAGTTGAGGCCCGATTCCCATGCATTGACTCCAGAGCCATTCCCCGTACCCCATTAAACACCACCAGTGGCTTGACTTCCTTCAGGCAACTCCAGAGATGCCCCGAGAACACTGTCCCAAGTCTAGAGGAATACGAACTTCAGCACAGCAACTCGAGGAATGCTCCGTGTACCCCAAATCGTCTCGAGATGAGAGCTGATTCCCTGGCTTAGGCTCAAGACGTATGCCAACTTTCCAGAAGCACCTCAAGGGGAGCCTTCTCTCAGCAATAGGTATGTTGGAGGGACCCCCAGTTTGCTGCCTCAAGTGGAATATACAGCGAGAAGCCCTAACTTGAAAGGAGGCCGGATTTCCTTGCAGTGGCTTGAATACAGGCTCGTCTTTCATCTCACAGCATGAAGGGATGTCTGAATCCCCTGTGGAGACCTTAGAGAAAGCTCCAGGTCCCTGCCTCATTTTGACGGAATGCCTCACATCCCGTTGACATTTCGAGAGGCACGCGGAATTCACTGCTTCAAAAGGTGATGATGCCTGACTCGTCTTGAATATTGATAGGAATCCCAAAATCCCTGTGGCTATTTGAAAGGTTCCTTGGGTGTCCTGCCTCACCTCGAGAAGCGTCCCTTGTGCCTGCCAAGCCTCGAAGAGATTCCTGAGCTGTCCCTCGTTACTGGACAGGAGTCCTGACGTCACTGAATAAACAGGAGTTTTTAAGGGCCATCCCCGCTGTAACCCGAGTACATACCCCAGGTCCCCGCCGCAAGTCGAGAAAAACCATGAGACTTTCCCCTAGTGGCGAGATGAGGCCCGATTCTCCTGCAGTGCCTGCAGAGCAATTCCGTGATCCCCATCAAACAAGTTAGGACCTTCGACTTGCTTAATGGATCTCGAGACAGTCCCCAAGAATACTGTCACATGTCTAGACGGATCCTGAGGTCACCCCATCCACGCAAAGCAGCACCATGTGCCCCACATCAACTCGAGATAATCCCCGATTCCCCTGCATTGACTCCAGTGCCATCCCCCGTTCCACATTAAACACCACCAGTGGCTTGACTTCCTTCAGACAACTCCAGAGATGCCCTGAGAACACTGTCCCAAGTCTAGAGGAACACCATCTTCAGCACAGCAACTCGAGGAATGCTCCGTGTACCCCAAATCGTCTCGAGATGAGAGGTGATTCCATGGCTTAGGCTCAAGACGTATGCCAACTTTCCAGAAGCACCTCAAGGGGAGGCTTCTCTCAGCAATAGGTATGTTGGAGGGACCCCCAGTTTGCTGCCTCAAGTGGAATATGCAGCGAGAAGCCCTAACTTGAAAGGAGGCCGGGTTTCCTTGCAGTGTCTTGAATACAGGCTCGTCTTTCATCTCACAACGGGAAGGAATGTCTGAATCCCCTGTGGAGACCTTAGCGAAAGCCCTAGGTCCCTGCCTCATTTTGACGGATTGCCTCACATCCCGTTGACACCTCGAGAGGCACACGGAGTACACTGCTTCAAATGTGACGATGCCTGACTCCTCCTGAACATTGATAGGAATCCCAAAATCACTGTGGCTACAGGAAAGGGTTCTTGTGTGCCCTGCATCACCTCGAGAAGCATCCCTTTTGCCCTGCCAAGGCTCGAAAAGATTCATGAGGTGTCCCTCATTACTAGACAGGAGTCATGACGTCACTGAATAAACACGTGTTTTCAAGGGCCAAGCCCGCCATAACTCGAGAACATACCCCACGTACCGCCGCGACTCGAGAAAAACCATGAGACTTCCCCTAGATGCGATATGAGGCCTGATTCCCTGCTGTCCATGCAGAGCATTCCTGTGATCCCAATCAAGCAAGTCAGCAGCTTCGAATTGCTTAATGGATCTCGAGAGAGTAACCAGGAACACTGTCACAAGTCTAGACAGACCCTGACATCACCCAAGCAAAGCAAAGCAGGTCCAAGTACCCCACATCACCTCGAGTTGGGGCCCGATTCCCATGCATTGACTCCAGAGCCATCACCCGTACCCTATTAAACACCACCAGTGGCTTGACTTCCTTCAGGCAACTCCAGAGATGCCCCGAGAACACAGTCCCAATTCTAGAGGAATACGAAGTTCAGCACAGCAACTCGAGGAATGCTCCGTGTACCCCAAATCGTTTCGAGGTGAGAGCTGATTCCATGGCTTAGGCTCAAGACGTATGCCAACTTTCCAGAAGCCCCTCAAGCGGAGGATTCTCTCAGCAATAGGTATGTTGGAGGGACCCCCACTTTGCTGCCTCAAGTGGAATATACAGCGAGAAGCCCTAACTTGAAAGGAGGCCGGATTTCCTTGCAGTGGCTTGAATACAGGCTCGTCTTTCATCTCACAGCATGAAGGGATGTCTGAATCCCCTGTGGAGACCTTAAAGAAAGCTCTAGGTCCCTGCCTCATTTTGACGGAATACCTCACATCCCGTTGACACTTCGAGAGGCACGCGGAATTCACTGCTTCAAAAGGTGATGATGCCTGACTCGTCTTGAATATTGATAGGAATCCCAAAACCCCTGTGGCTATTTGAAAGGTTCCTTGGGTGTCCTGCCTCACCTCGAGAAGCGTCCCTTGTGCCTGCCAAGCCTCGAAGAGATTCCTGAGCTGTCCCTCGTTACTGGACAGGAGTCCTGACGTCACTGAATAAACAGGAGTTTTTAAGGGCCATCCCCGCTGTAACCCGAGTACATACCCCTGGTCCCCGCCGCAAGTCGAGAAAAACCATGAGACTTTCCCCTAGTGGCGAGATGAGGCCCGATTCTCCTGCAGTGCATGCAGAGCAATTCCGTGATACCCATCAAACAAGTCAGGACCTTCGACTTGCTTAATGGATCTCGAGACAGTCCCCAAGAATACTGTCACATGTCTAGACGGATCCTGAGGTCACCCCATCAATGCAAAGCAGCACCATGTGCCCCACATCAACTCGAGATAATGCCCGATTCCCCTGCATTGATTCCAGAGCCATCCCCCGTTCCACATTAAACACCACCAGTGGCTTGACTTCCTTCAGACATTCCAGAGATGCCCTGAGAACACTGTCCAAAGTCTAGAGGAACACCATCTTCAGCACAGCAACTCGAGGAATGCTCCGTGTACCCCAAATCGTCTCGAGATGAGAGCTGATTCCCTGGCTTAGGCTCAAGACGTATGCCAACTTTCCAGAAGCACCTCAAGGGGAGGCTTCTCTCAGCAATAGGTATGTTGGAGGACCCCAGTTTGCTGCCTCAAGTGGAATATGCAGCGAGAAGCCCTAACTTGAAAGGAGGCCGGGTTTCCTTGCAGTGTCTTGAATACAGGCTCGTCTTTCATCTCACAACGGGAAGGAATGTCTGAATCCCCTGTGGAGACCTTAGCGAAAGCCCTAGGTCCCTGCCTCATTTTGACGGATTGCCTCACATCCCGTTGACACCTCGAGAGGCACACGGAGTTCACTGCTTCAAATGTGACGATGCCTGACTCCTCCTGAACATTGATAGGAATCCCAAAATCACTGTGGCTACAGGAAAGGGTTCTTGTGTGCCCTGCCTCACCTCGAGAAGCATCCCTTTTGCCCTGCCAAGGCTCGAAGAGATTCCTGAGGTGTCCCTCATTACTAGACTGGAGTCATGACGTCACTGAATAAACACGTGTTTTCAAGGGCCAAGCCCGCCATAACTCGAGAACATACCCCACGTACCGCCGCGACTCGAGAAAAACCAGGAGACTTCCCCTAGATGCGATATGAGGCCTGATTCCCTGCAGTCCATGCAGAGCATTCCCGTGATCCCAATGAAGCAAGTCAGCAGCTTCGAATTGCTTAATGGATTTCGAGAGAGTCCCCACGAACACTGTCACAAGTCTAGACAGACCCTGACATCACCCCAGCAAAGCAAAGCAGGTCCAAGTACCCCACATCACCTCGAGTTGAGGCCCGATTCCCATGCATTGACTCCAGAGCCATCCCCCGTACCCCATTAAACACCACCAGTGGCTTGACTTCCTTCAGGCAACTACAGAGATGCCCCGAGAACACTGTCCCAAGTCTAGAGGAATACGAACTTCAGCACAGCAACTCGAGTAATGCTCGGTGTACCCCAAATCGTTTCGAGGTGAGAGCTGATTCCATGGCTTAGGCTCAAGACGTATGCCAACTTTCCAGAAGCACCTCAAGCGGAGGATTCTCTCAGCAATAGATATGTTGGAGGGACCCCCACTTTGCTGTCTCAAGTGGAATATACAGCAAGAAGCCCTAACTTGAAAGGAGGCCGGATTTCCTTGTAGTGTCTTGAATACAGGCTCGTCTTTCATCTCACAACCGGAAGGGATGTCTGAATCCCCTGTGTAGAACTTAGAGAAAGCCCTAGGTCCCTGCCTCATTTTGACGGATTGCCTCACATCCCGTTGACACCTCGAAAGGCACGCGGAGTTCACTGCTTCAAAAGGTGATGATGCCTGACTCGTCTTGAATTTTGATAGGAATCCCAAAATCCCTGTGGCTATTTGAAAGGTTCCTTGGGTGTCCTGCCTCACCTCGAGAAGCGTCCCTTGTGCCTGCCAAGCCTCGAAGAGATTCCTGAGCTGTCCCTCGTTCCTGGACAGGAGTCCTGACGTCACTGAATAAACAGGAGTTTTTAAGGGCCATCCCCGCTGTAACCCGAGTACATACCCCAGGTCCCTGCCGCAAGTCGAGAAAAACCATGAGACTTTCCCCTAGTGGCGAGATGAGGCCCGATTCTCCTGCAGTGCATGCAGAGCAATTCCGTGATCCCCATCAAACAAGTCAGGACCTTCGACTTGCTTAATGGATCTCGAGACAGTCCCCAAGAATACGGTTCATGTCTAGATGGATCCTGAGGTCACCCCATCAACGCAAAGCAGCACCATGTGCCCCACATCAACTCGAGATAATGCCCGATTCCCCTGCATTGACTGCAGAGCCATCCCCCGTTCCACATTAAACACCACCAGTGGCTTGACTTCCTTCAGACAACTCCAGAGATGCCCTGAGAACACTGTCCCAAGTCTAGAGGAACACCATCTTCAGCACAGCAACTCGAGGAATGCTCCGTGTACCCTAAATCGTCTCGAGATGAGAGCTGATTCCCTGGCTTAGGCTCAAGACGTATGCCAACTTTCCAGAAGCACCTCAAGGGGAGGCTTCTCTCAGCAATAGGTATGTTGGAGGGACCCCCAGTTTGCTGCCTCAAGTGGAATATGCAGCGAGAAGCCCTAACTTGAAAGGAGGCCGGGTTTCCTTGCAGTGTCTTGAATACAGGCTCGTCTTTCATCTCACAACGGGAAGGAATGTCTGAATCCCCTGTGGAGAACTTAGCGAAAGACCTAGGTCCCTGCCTCATTTTGACGGATTGCCTCACATCCCGTTGACACCTCGAGAGGCACCCGGAGTTCACTGCTTCAAATGTGATGATGCCTGACTCCTCCTGAACATTGATAGGAATCCCAAAATCACTGTGGCTCCTGGAAAGGGATCTTGTGTGCCCTGCCTCACCTCGAGAAGCATCCCTTTTGCCCTGCCAAGGCTCGAAAAGATTCCTGAGGTGTCCCTCATTACTAGACAGGAGTCATGACGTCACTGAATAAACACGTGTTTTCAAGGGCCAAGCCCGCCATAACTCGAGAACATACCCCACGTACCGCCGCGACTCGAGAAAAACCATGAGACTTCCCCTAGATGCGATATGAGGCCTGATTCTCTGCAGTCCATGCAGAGCATTCCCGTGATCCCAATCAAGCAAGTCAGCAGCTTCGAATTGCTTAATGGATCTCGAGAGAGTCCCCACGAACACTGTCACAAGTCTAGACAGACCCTGACATCACCCAAGCAAAGCAAAGCAGGTCCAAGTACCCCACATCACCTCGAGTTGAGGCCCGATTCCCATGCATTGACTCCAGAGCCATCCCCCGTACCCCATTAAACACCACCAGTGGCTTGACTTCCTTCAGGCAACTCCAGAGATGCCCCGAGAACACTGTCCCACGTCTAGAGGAATACGAACTTCAGCACAGCAACTCGAGGAATGCTCCGTGTACCCCAAATCGTTTCGAGGTGAGAGCTGATTCCATGGCTTAGGCTCAAGACGTATGCAAACTTTCCAGAAGCACCTCAAGCGGAGGATTCTCTCAGCAATAGATATGTTGGAGGGACCCCCACTTTGCGGCCTCAAGTGGAATATACAGCGAGAAGCCCTAACTTGAAAGGATGCCGGGTTTCCTTGCAGTGTCTTGAATACAGGCTCGTCTTTCATCTCACAACGGGAAGGAATGTCTGAATCCCCTGTGGAGACCTTAGCGAAAGCCCTAGGTCCCTGCCTCATTTTGACGGATTGCCTCACATCCCGTTGACACCTCGAGAGGCACCCGGAGTTCACTGCTTCAAATGTGACGATGCCTGACTCCTCCTGAACATTGATAGGAATCCCAAAATCACTGTGGCTACAGGAAAGGGTTCTTGTGTGCCCTGCCTCACCTCGAGAAGCATCCCTTTTGCCCTGCCAAGGCTCGAAAAGATTCCTGAGGTGTCCCTCATTACTAGACAGGAGTCATGACGTCACTGAATAAACACGTGTTTTCAAGGGCCAAGCCCGCCATAACTCGAGAACATACCCCACGTACCGCCGCGACTCGAGAAAAACCATGAGACTTCCCCTAGATGCGATATGAGGCCTGATTCCCTGCAGTCCATGCAGAGCATTCCTGTGATCCCAATCAAGCAAGTCAGCAGCTTCGAATTGCTTAATGGATCTCGAGAGAGTCCCCAGGAACACTGTCACAAGTCTAGACAGACCCTGACATCACCCCAGCAAAGCAAAGCAGGTCCAAGTACCCCACATCACCTCGAGTTGAGGCCCGATTCCCATGCATTGACTCCAGAGCCATTCCCCGTACCCCATTAAACACCACCAGTGGCTTGACTTCCTTCAGGCAACTCCAGAGATGCACCGAGAACACTGTCCCAAGTCTAGAGGAATACGAACTTCAGCACAGCAACTCGAGGAATGCTCCGTGTACCCCAAATCGTTTCGAGGTGAGAGCTGATTCCATGGCTTAGGCTCAAGACGTATGCCAACTTTCCAGAAGCCCCTCAAGAGGAGGCTTCTCTCAGCAATAGGTATGTGGGAGGGACCCCGAATTTGTTGCCTCAAGTGGAATATACAGCGAGAAGCCCTAACTTGAAAGGAGGCCGGATTTCCTTGCAGTGGCTTGAATACAGGCTCGTCTTTCATCTCACAGCATGAAGGGATGTCTGAATCCCCTGTGGAGACCTTAGAGAAAGCTCTAGGTCCCTGCCTCATTTTGACGGAATGCCTCACATCCCGTTGACACTTCGAGAGGCACGCGGAGTTCACTGCTTCAAAAGGTGATGATGCCTGACTCGTCTTGAATATTGATAGGAATCCCAAAATCCCTGTGGCTATTTGAAAGGTTCCTTGGGTGTCCTGCCTCACCTCGAGAAGCGTCCCTTGTGCCTGCCAAGCCTCGAAGAGATTCCTGAGCTGTCCCTCGTTACTGGACAGGAGTCCTGACGTCACTGAATAAACAGGAGTTTTTAAGGGCCATCCCCGCTGTAACCCGAGTACATACCCCAGGTCCCCGCCGCAAGTCGAGAAAAACCATGAGACTTTCCCCTAGTGGCGAGATGAGGCCCGATTCTCCTGCAGTGCCTGCAGAGCAATTCCGTGATCCCCATCAAACAAGTTAGGACCTTCGACTTGCTTAATGGATCTCGAGACAGTCCCCAAGAATACTGTCACATGTCTAGACGGATCCAGAGGTCACCCCATCAACGCAAAGCAGCACCATGTGCCCCACATCAACTCGAGATAATCCCCGATTCCCCTGCATTGACTCCAGAGCCATCCCCCGTTCCACATTAAACACCACCAGTGGCTTGACTTCCTTCAGACAACTCCAGAGATGCCCTGAGAACACTGTCCCAAGTCTAGAGGAACACCATCTTCAGCACAGCAACTCGAGGAATGCTCCGTGTACCCCAAATCGTCTCGAGATGAGAGGTGATTCCATGGCTTAGGCTCAAGACGTATGCCAACTTTCCAGAAGCACCTCAAGGGGAGGCTTCTCTCAGCAATAGGTATGTTGGAGGGACCCCCAGTTTGCTGCCTCAAGTGGAATATGCAGCGAGAAGCCCTAACTTGAAAGGAGGCCGGGTTTCCTTGCAGTGTCTTGAATACAGGCTCGTCTTTCATCTCACAACGGGAAGGAATGTCTGAATCCCCTGTGGAGACCTTAGTGAAAGCCCTAGGTCCCTGCCTCATTTTGACGGATTGCCTCACATCCCGTTGACACCTCGAGAGGCACACGGAGTACACTGCTTCAAATGTGACGATACCTGACTCCTCCTGAACATTGATAGGAATCCCAAAATCACTGTGGCTACAGGAAAGGGTTCTTGTGTGCCCTGCATCACCTCGAGAAGCATCCCTTTTGCCCTGCCAAGGCTCGAAAAGATTCATGAGGTGTCCCTCATTACTAGACAGGAGTCATGACGTCACTGAATAAACACGTGTTTTCAAGGGCCAAGCCCGCCATAACTCGAGAACATACCCCACGTACCGCCGCGACTCGAGAAAAACCATGAGACTTCCCCTAGATGCGATATGAGGCCTGATTCCCTGCTGTCCATGCAGAGCATTCCTGTGATCCCAATCAAGCAAGTCAGCAGCTTCGAATTGCTTAATGGATCTCGAGAGAGTAACCAGGAACACTGTCACAAGTCTAGACAGACCCTGACATCACCCCAGCAAAGCAAAGCAGGTCCAAGTACCCCACATCACCTCGAGTTGGGGCCCGATTCCCATGCATTGACTCCAGAGCCATCACCCGTACCCTATTAAACACCACCAGTGGCTTGACTTCCTTCAGGCAACTCCAGAGATGCCCCGAGAACACAGTCCCAATTCTAGAGGAATACGAAGTTCAGCACAGCAACTCGAGGAATGCTCCGTGTACCCCAAATCGTTTCGAGGTGAGAGCTGATTCCATGGCTTAGGCTCAAGACGTATGCCAACTTTCCAGAAGCCCCTCAAGCGGAGGATTCTCTCAGCAATAGGTATGTTGGAGGGACCCCCACTTTGCTGCCTCAAGTGGAATATACAGCGAGAAGCCCTAACTTGAAAGGAGGCCGGATTTCCTTGCAATGGCTTGAATACAGGCTCGTCTTTCATCTCACAGCATGAAGGGATGTCTGAATCCCCTGTGGAGACCTTAAAGAAAGCTCTAGGTCCCTGCCTCATTTTGACGGAATACCTCACATCCCGTTGACACTTCGAGAGGCACGCGGAATTCACTGCTTCAAAAGGTGATGATGCCTGACTCGTCTTGAATATTGATAGGAATCCCAAAACCCCTGTGGCTATTTGAAAGGTTCCTTGGGTGTCCTGCCTCACCTCGAGAAGCGTCCCTTGTGCCTGCCAAGCCTCGAAGAGATTCCTGAGCTGTCCCTCGTTACTGGACAGGAGTCCTGACGTCACTGAATAAACAGGAGTTTTTAAGGGCCATCCCCGCTCTAACCCGAGTACATACCCCAGGTCCCCGCCGCAAGTCGAGAAAAACCATGAGAATTTCCCCTAGTGGCGAGATGTGGCCCGATTCTCATGCAGTGCATGCAGAGCAATTCAGTGATCCCCATCAAACAAGTCAGGACCTTCGACTTGCTTAATGGATCTCGAGACAGTCCCCAAGAATACTGTCACATGTCTAGACGGATCCTGAGGTCACCCCATCAACGCAAAGCAGCACCATGTGACCCACATCAACTCGAGATAATGCCCGATTCCCCTGCATTGACTCCAGAGCCATCCCCCGTTCCACATTAAACACCACCAGTGGCTTGACTTCCTTCAGACATTCCAGAGATGCCCTGAGAACACTGTCCAAAGTCTAGAGGAACACCATCTTCAACACAGCAACTCGAGGAATGCTCCGTGTACCCCAAATCGTCTCGAGATGAGAGCTGATTCCCTGGCTTAGGCTCAAGACGTATGCCAACTTTCCAGAAGCACCTCAAGGGGAGGCTTCTCTCAGCAATAGGTATGTTGGAGGACCCCAGTTTGCTGCCTCAAGTGGAATATGCAGCGAGAAGCCCTAACTTGAAAGGAGGCCGGGTTTCCTTGCAGTGTCTTGAATACAGGCTCGTCTTTCATCTCACAATGGGAAGGAATGTCTGAATCCCCTGTGGAGACCTTAGCGAAAGCCCTAGGTCCCTGCCTCATTTTGACGGATTGCCTCACATCCCGTTGACACCTCGAGAGGCACACGGAGTTCACTGCTTCAAATGTGACGATGCCTGACTCCTCCTGAACATTGATAGGAATCCCAAAATCACTGTGGCTACAGGAAAGGGTTCTTGTGTGCCCTGCCTCACCTCGAGAAGCATCCCTTTTGCCCTGCCAAGGCTCGAAGAGATTCCTGAGGTGTCCCTCATTACTAGACAGGAGTCATGACGTCACTGAATAAACACGTGTTTTCAAGGGCCAAGCCCGCCATAACTCGAGAACATACCCCACGTACCGCCGCGACTCGAGAAAAACCAGGAGACTTCCCCTAGATGCGATATGAGGCCTGATTCCCTGCAGTCCATGCAGAGCATTCCCGTGATCCCAATGAAGCAAGTCAGCAGCTTCGAATTGCTTAATGGATTTCGAGAGAGTCGCCAGGAACACTGTCACAAGTCTAGACAGACCCTGACATCACCCCAGCAAAGCAAAGCAGGTCCAAGTACCCCACATCACCTCGAGTTGAGGCCCGATTCCCATGCATTGACTCCAGAGCCATCCCCCGTACCCCATTAAACACCACCAGTGGCTTGACTTCCTTCAGGCAACTACAGAGATGCCCCGAGAACACTGTCCCAAGTCTAGAGGAATACGAACTTCAGCACAGCAACTCGAGTAATGCTCGGTGTACCCCAAATCGTTTCGAGGTGAGAGCTGATTCCATGGCTTAGGCTCAAGACGTATGCCAACTTTCCAGAAGCACCTCAAGCGGAGGATTCTCTCAGCAATAGATATGTTGGAGGGACCCCCACTTTGCTGCCTCAAGTGGAATATACAGCAAGAAGCCCTAACTTGAAAGGAGGCCGGATTTCCTTGTAGTGTCTTGAATACAGGCTCGTCTTTCATCTCACAACCGGAAGGGATGTCTGAATCCCCTGTGTAGAACTTAGAGAAAGCCCTAGGTCCCTGCCTCATTTTGACGGATTGCCTCACATCCCGTTGACACCTCGAAAGGCACGCGGAGTTCACTGCTTCAAAAGGTGATGATGCCTGACTCGTCTTGAATTTTGATAGGAATCCCAAAATCCCTGTGGCTATTTGAAAGGGTCCTTGGGTGTCCTGCCTCACCTCGAGAAGCGTCCCTTGTGCCTGCCAAGCCTCGAAGAGATTCCTGAGCTGTCCCTCGTTACTGGACAGGAGTCCTGACGTCACTGAATAAACAGGAGTTTTTAAGGGCCATCCCCGCTGTAACCCGAGTACATACCCCAGGTCCCTGCCGCAAGTCGAGAAAAACCATGAGACTTTCCCCTAGTGGCGAGATGAGGCCCGATTCTCCTGCAGTGCATGCAGAGCAATTCCGTGATCCCCATCAAACAAGTCAGGACCTTCGACTTGCTTAATGGATCTCGAGACAGTCCCCAAGAATACGGTTCATGTCTAGATGGATCCTGAGGTCACCCCATCAACGCAAAGCAGCACCATGTGCCCCACATCAACTCGAGATAATGCCCGATTCCCCTGCATTGACTGCAGAGCCATCCCCCGTTCCACATTAAACACCACCAGTGGCTTGACTTCCTTCAGACAACTCCAGAGATGCCCTGAGAACACTGTCCCAAGTCTAGAGGAACACCATCTTCAGCACAGCAACTCGAGGAATGCTCCGTGTACCCCAAATCGTCTCGAGATGAGAGCTGATTCCCTGGCTTAGGCTCAAGACGTATGCCAACTTTCCAGAAGCACCTCAAGGGGAGGCTTCTCTCAGCAATAGGTATGTTGGAGGGACCCCCAGTTTGCTGCCTCAAGTGGAATATGCAGCGAGAAGCCCTAACTTGAAAGGAGGCCGGGTTTCCTTGCAGTGTCTTGAATACAGGCTCGTCTTTCATCTCACAACGGGAAGGAATGTCTGAATCCCCTGTGGAGAACTTAGCGAAAGACCTAGGTCCCTGCCTCATTTTGACGGATTGCCTCACATCCCGTTGACACCTCGAGAGGCACCCGGAGTTCACTGCTTCAAATGTGATGATGCCTGACTCCTCCTGAACATTGATAGGAATCCCAAAATCACTGTGGCTACTGGAAAGGGTTCTTGTGTGCCCTGCCTCACCTCGAGAAGCATCCCTTTTGCCCTGCCAAGGCTCGAAAAGATTCCTGAGGTGTCCCTCATTACTAGACAGGAGTCATGACGTCACTGAATAAACACGTGTTTTCAAGGGCCAAGCCCGCCATAACTCGAGAACATACCCCACGTACCGCCGCGACTCGAGAAAAACCATGAGACTTCCCCTAGATGCGATATGAGGCCTGATTCTCTGCAGTCCATGCAGAGCATTCCCGTGATCCCAATCAAGCAAGTCAGCAGCTTCGAATTGCTTAATGGATCTCGAGAGAGTCCCCACGAACACTGTCACAAGTCTAGACAGACCCTGACATCACCCAAGCAAAGCAAAGCAGGTCCAAGTACCCCACATCACCTCGAGTTGAGGCCCGATTCCCATGCATTGACTCCAGAGCCATCCCCCGTACCCCATTAAACACCACCAGTGGCTTGACTTCCTTCAGGCAACTCCAGAGATGCCCCGAGAACACTGTCCCACGTCTAGAGGAATACGAACTTCAGCACAGCAACTCGAGGAATGCTCCGTGTACCCCAAATCGTTTCGAGGTGAGAGCTGATTCCATGGCTTAGGCTCAAGACGTATGCAAACTTTCCAGAAGCACCTCAAGCGGAGGATTCTCTCAGCAATAGATATGTTGGAGGGACCCCCACTTTGCGGCCTCAAGTGGAATATACAGCGAGAAGCCCTAACTTGAAAGGAGGCCGGGTTTCCTTGCAGTGTCTTGAATACAGGCTCGTCTTTCATCTCACAACGGGAAGGAATGTCTGAATCCCCTGTGGAGACCTTAGCGAAAGCCCTAGGTCCCTGCCTCATTTTGACGGATTGCCTCACATCCCGTTGACACCTCGAGAGGCACCCGGAGTTCACTGCTTCAAATGTGACGATGCCTGACTCCTCCTGAACATTGATAGGAATCCCAAAATCACTGTGGCTACAGGAAAGGGTTCTTGTGTGCCCTGCCTCACCTCGAGAAGCATCCCTTTTGCCCTGCCAAGGCTCGAAAAGATTCCTGAGGTGTCCCTCATTACTAGACAGGAGTCATGACGTCACTGAATAAACACGTGTTTTCAAGGGCCAAGCCCGCCATAACTCGAGAACATACCCCACGTACCGCCGCGACTCGAGAAAAACCATGAGACTTCCCCTAGATGCGATATGAGGCCTGATTCCCTGCAGTCCATGCAGAGAATTCCTGTGATCCCAATCAAGCAAGTCAGCAGCTTCGAATTGCTTAATGGATCTCGAGAGAGTCCCCAGGAACACTGTCACAAGTCTAGACAGACCCTGACATCACCCCAGCAAAGCAAAGCAGGTCCAAGTACCCCACATCACCTCGAGTTGAGGCCCGATTCCCATGCATTGACTCCAGAGCCATTCCCCGTACCCCATTAAACACCACCAGTGGCTTGACTTCCTTCAGGCAACTCCAGAGATGCCCCGAGAACACTGTCCCAAGTCTAGAGGAATACGAACTTCAGCACAGCAACTCGAGGAATGCTCCGTGTACCCCAAATCGTTTCGAGGTGAGAGCTGATTCCATGGCTTAGGCTCAAGACGTATGCCAACTTTCCAGAAGCCCCTCAAGAGGAGGCTTCTCTCAGCAATAGGTTGTGGGAGGGACCCCGAATTTGCTGCCTCAAGTGGAATATACAGCGAGAAGCCCTAACTTGAAAGGAGGCCGGATTTCCTTGCAGTGGCTTGCATACAGGCTCGTCTTTCATCTCACAGCATGAAGGGATGTCTGAATCCCCTGTGGAGACCTTAGAGAAAGCTCTAGGTCCCTGCCTCATTTTGACGGAATGCCTCACATCCCGTTGACACTTCGAGAGGCACGCGGAATTCACTGCTTCAAAAGGTGATGATGCCTGACTCGTCTTGAATATTGATAGGAATCCCAAAATCCCTGTGGCTATTTGAAAGGTTCCTTGGGTGTCCTGCCTCACCTCGAGAAGCGTCCCTTGTGCCTGCCAAGCCTCGAAGAGATTCCTGAGCTGTCCCTCGTTACTGGACAGGAGTCCTGACGTCACTGAATAAACAGGAGTTTTTAAGGGCCATCCCCGCTGTAACCCGAGTACATACCCCAGGTCCCCGCCGCAAGTCGAGAAAAACCATGAGACTTTCCCCTAGTGGCGAGATGAGGCCCGATTCTCCTGCAGTGCCTGCAGAGCAATTCCGTGATCCCCATCAAACAAGTTAGGACCTTCGACTTGCTTAATGGATCTCGAGACAGTCCCCAAGAATACTGTCACATGTCTAGACGGATCCAGAGGTCACCCCATCAACGCAAAGCAGCACCATGTGCCCCACATCAACTCGAGATAATCCCCGATTCCCCTGCATTGACTCCAGAGCCATCCCCCGTTCCACATTAAACACCACCAGTGGCTTGACTTCCTTCAGACAACTCCAGAGATGCCCTGAGAACACTGTCCCAAGTCTAGAGGAACACCATCTTCAGCACAGCAACTCGAGGAATGCTCCGTGTACCCCAAATCGTCTCGAGATGAGAGGTGATTCCATGGCTTAGGCTCAAGACGTATGCCAACTTTCCAGAAGCACCTCAAGGGGAGGCTTCTCTCAGCAATAGGTATGTTGGAGGGACCCCCAGTTTGCTGCCTCAAGTGGAATATGCAGCGAGAAGCCCTAACTTGAAAGGAGGCCGGGTTTCCTTGCAGTGTCTTGAATACAGGCTCGTCTTTCATCTCACAACGGGAAGGAATGTCTGAATCCCCTGTGGAGACCTTAGCGAAAGCCCTAGGTCCCTGCCTCATTTTGACGGATTGCCTCACATCCCGTTGACACCTCGAGAGGCACACGGAGTACACTGCTTCAAATGTGACGATGCCTGACTCCTCCTGAACATTGATAGGAATCCCAAAATCACTGTGGCTACAGGAAAGGGTTCTTGTGTGCCCTGCATCACCTCGAGAAGCATCCCTTTTGCCCTGCCAAAGCTCGAAAAGATTCATGAGGTGTCCCTCATTACTAGACAGGAGTCATGACGTCACTGAATAAACACGTGTTTTCAAGGGCCAAGCCCGCCATAACTCGAGAACATACCCCACGTACCGCCGCGACTCGAGAAAAACCATGAGACTTCCCCTAGATGCGATATGAGGCCTGATTCCCTGCAGTCCATGCAGAGCATTCCTGTGATCCCAATCAAGCAAGTCAGCAGCTTCGAATTGCTTAATGGATCTCGAGAGAGTAACCAGGAACACTGTCACAAGTCTAGACAGACCCTGACATCACCCCAGCAAAGCAAAGCAGGTCCAAGTACCCCACATCACCTCGAGTTGGGGCCCGATTCCCATGCATTGACTCCAGAGCCATCACCCGTACCCTATTAAACACCACCAGTGGCTTGACTTCCTTCAGGCAACTCCAGAGATACCCCGAGAACACAGTCCCAATTCTAGAGGAATACGAAGTTCAGCACAGCAACTCGAGGAATGCTCCGTGTACCCCAAATCGTTTCGAGGTGAGAGCTGATTCCATGGCTTAGGCTCAAGACGTATGCCAACTTTCCAGAAGCCCCTCAAGCGGAGGATTCTCTCAGCAATAGGTATGTTGGAGGGACCCCCACTTTGCTGCCTCAAGTGGAATATACAGCGAGAAGCCCTAACTTGAAAGGAGGCCGGATTTCCTTGCAGTGGCTTGAATACAGGCTCGTCTTTCATCTCACAGCATGAAGGGATGTCTGAATCCCCTGTGGAGACCTTAAAGAAAGCTCTAGGTCCCTGCCTCATTTTGACGGAATACCTCACATCCCGTTGACACTTCGAGAGGCACGCGGAATTCACTGCTTCAAATGGTGATGATGCCTGACTCGTCTTGAATATTGATAGGAATCCCAAAACCCCTGTGGCTATTTGAAAGGTTCCTTGGGTGTCCTGCCTCACCTCGAGAAGCGTCCCTTGTGCCTGCCAAGCCTCGAAGAGATTCCTGAGCTGTCCCTCGTTACTGGACAGGAGTCCTGACGTCACTGAATAAACAGGAGTTTTTAAGGGCCATCCCCGCTGTAACCCGAGTACATACCCCTGGTCCCCGCCGCAAGTCGAGAAAAACCATGAGACTTTCCCCTAGTGGCGAGATGAGGCCCGATTCTCCTGCAGTGCATGCAGAGCAATTCCGTGATACCCATCAAACAAGTCAGGACCTTCGACTTGCTTAATGGATCTCGAGACAGTCCCCAAGAATACTGTCACATGTCTAGACGGATCCTGAGGTAAACCCATCAATGCAAAGCAGCACCATGTGCCCCACATCAACTCGAGATAATGCCCGATTCCCCTGCATTGATTCCAGAGCCATCCCCCGTTCCACATTAAACACCACCAGTGGCTTGACTTCCTTCAGACATTCCAGAGATGCCCTGAGAACACTGTCCAAAGTCTAGAGGAACACCATCTTCAGCACAGCAACTCGAGGAATGCTCCGTGTACCCCAAATCGTCTCGAGATGAGAGCTGATTCCCTGGCTTAGGCTCAAGACGTATGCCAACTTTCCAGAAGCACCTCAAGGGGAGGCTTCTCTCAGCAATAGGTATGTTGGAGGACCCCAGTTTGCTGCCTCAAGTGGAATATGCAGCGAGAAGCCCTAACTTGAAAGGAGGCCGGGTTTCCTTGCAGTGTCTTGAATACAGGCTCGTCTTTCATCTCACAACGGGAAGGAATGTCTGAATCCCCTGTGGAGACCTTAGCGAAAGCCCTAGGTCCCTGCCTCATTTTGACGGATTGCCTCACATCCCATTGACACCTCGAGAGGCACACGGAGTTCACTGCTTCAAATGTGACGATGCCTGACTCCTCCTGAACATTGATAGGAATCCCAAAATCACTGTGGCTACAGGAAAGGGTTCTTGTGTGCCCTGCCTCACCTCGAGAAGCATCCCTTTTGCCCTGCCAAGGCTCGAAGAGATTCCTGAGGTGTCCCTCATTACTAGACAGGAGTCATGACGTCACTGAATAAACACGTGTTTTCAAGGGCCAAGCCCGCCATAACTCGAGAACATACCCCACGTACCGCCGCGACTCGAGAAAAACCAGGAGACTTCCCCTAGATGCGATATGAGGCCTGATTCCCTGCAGTCCATGCAGAGCATTCCCGTGATCCCAATGAAGCAAGTCAGCAGCTTCGAATTGCTTAATGGATTTCGAGAGAGTCGCCAGGAACACTGTCACAAGTCTAGACAGACCCTGACATCACCCCAGCAAAGCAAAGCAGGTCCAAGTACCCCACATCACCTCGAGTTGAGGCCCGATTCCCATGCATTGACTCCAGAGCCATCCCCCGTACCCCATTAAACACCACCAGTGGCTTGACTTCCTTCAGGCAACTACAGAGATGCCCCGAGAACACTGTCCCAAGTCTAGAGGAATACGAACTTCAGCACAGCAACTCGAGTAATGCTCGGTGTACCCCAAATCGTTTCGAGGTGAGAGCTGATTCCATGGCTTAGGCTCAAGACGTATGCCAACTTTCCAGAAGCACCTCAAGCGGAGGATTCTCTCAGCAATAGATATGTTGGAGGGACCCCCACTTTGCTGCCTCAAGTGGAATATACAGCAAGAAGCCCTAACTTGAAAGGAGGCCGGATTTCCTTGTAGTGTCTTGAATACAGGCTCGTCTTTCATCTCACAACCGGAAGGGATGTCTGAATCCCCTGTGTAGAACTTAGAGAAAGCCCTAGGTCCCTGCCTCATTTTGACGGATTGCCTCACATCCCGTTGACACCTCGAAAGGCACGCGGAGTTCACTGCTTCAAAAGGTGATGATGCCTGACTCGTCTTGAATTTTGATAGGAATCCCAAAATCCCTGTGGCTATTTGAAAGGTTCCTTGGGTGTCCTGCCTCACCTCGAGAAGCGTCCCTTGTGCCTGCCAAGCCTCGAAGAGATTCCTGAGCTGTCCCTCGTTACTGGACAGGAGTCCTGACGTCACTGAATAAACAGGAGTTTTTAAGGTCCATCCCCGCTGTAACCCGAGTACATACCCCAGGTCCCTGCCGCAAGTCGAGAAAAACCATGAGACTTTCCCCTAGTGGCGAGATGAGGCCCGATTCTCCTGCAGTGCATGCAGAGCAATTCCGTGATCCCCATCAAACAAGTCAGGACCTTCGACTTGCTTAATGGATCTCGAGACAGTCCCCAAGAATACGGTTCATGTCTAGATGGATCCTGAGGTCACCCCATCAACGCAAAGCAGCACCATGTGCCCCACATCAACTCGAGATAATGCCCGATTCCCCTGCATTGACTGCAGAGCCATCCCCCGTTCCACATTAAACACCACCAGTGGCTTGACTTCCTTCAGACAACTCCAGAGATGCCCTGAGAACACTGTCCCAAGTCTAGAGGAAGACCATCTTCAGCACAGCAACTCGAGGAATGCTCCGTGTACCCCCAATCGTCTCGAGATGAGAGCTGATTCCCTGGCTTAGGCTCAAGACGTATGCCAACTTTCCAGAAGCACCTCAAGGGGAGGCTTCTCTCAGCAATAGGTATGTTGGAGGGACCCCCAGTTTGCTGCCTCAAGTGGAATATGCAGCGAGAAGCCCTAACTTGAAAGGAGGCCGGGTTTCCTTGCAGTGTCTTGAATACAGCCTCGTCTTTCATCTCACAACGGGAAGGAATGTCTGAATCCCCTGTGGAGACCTTAGCGAAAGACCTAGGTCCCTGCCTCATTTTGACGGATTGCCTCACATCCCGTTGACACCTCGAGAGGCACCCGGAGTTCACTGCTTCAAATGTGATGATGCCTGACTCCTCCTGAACATTGATAGGAATCCCAAAATCACTGTGGCTACTGGAAAGGGTTCTTGTGTGCCCTGCCTCACCTCGAGAAGCATCCCTTTTGCCCTGCCAAGGCTCGAAAAGATTCCTGAGGTGTCCCTCATTACTAGACAGGAGTCATGACGTCACTGAATAAACACGTGTTTTCAAGGGCCAAGCCCGCCATAACTCGAGAACATACCCCACGTACCGCCGCGACTCGAGAAAAACCATGAGACTTCCCCTAGATGCGATATGAGGCCTGATTCCCTGCAGTCCATGCAGAGCATTCCCGTGATCACTATCAAGCAAGTCAGCAGCTTCGAATTGCTTAATGGATCTCGAGAGAGTCCCCAGGAACACTGTCACAAGTCTAGACAGACCCTGACATCACCCCAGCAAAGCAAAGCAGGTCCAAGTACCCCACATCACCTCGAGTTGAGGCCCGATTCCCATGCATTGACTCCAGAGCCATCCCCCGTACCCCATTAAACACCACCAGTGGCTTGACTTCCTTCAGGCAACTCCAGAGATGCCCCGAGAACACTGTCCCAAGTCTAGAGGAATACGAACTTCAGCACAGCAACTCGAGGAATGCTCGGTGTACCCCAAATCGTTTCGAGGTGAGAGCTGAATCCATGGCTTAGGCTCAAGACGTATGCCAACTTTCCAGAAGCACCTCAAGCGGAGGATTCTCTCAGCAATAGGTATGTTGGAGGGACCCCCACTTTGCTGCCTCAAGTGGAATATACAGCGAGAAGCCCTAACTTGAAAGGAGGCCGGATTTCCTTGCAGTGTCTTGAATACAGGCTCGTCTTTCATCTCACAACCGGAAGGGATGTCTGAATCCCCTGTGTAGAACTTAGAGAAAGCCCTAGGTCCCTGCCTCCTTTTGACGGATTGCCTCACATCCCGTTGACACCTCGAGAGGCACGCGGAGTTCACTGCTTCAAAAGGTGATGATGCCTGACTCGTCTTGAATATTGATAGGAATCCCAAAATCCCTGTGGCTATTTGAAAGGTTCCTTGGGTGTCCTGCCTCACCTCGAGAAGCGTCCCTTGTGCCTGCCAAGCCTCGAAGAGATTCCTGAGCTGTCCCTCGTTACTGGACAGGAGTCCTGACGTCACTGAATAAACAGGAGTTTTTAAGGGCCATCCCCGCTGTAACCCGAGTACATACCCCAGGTCCCCGCCGCAAGTCGAGAAAAACCATGAGACTTTCCCCTCGTGGCGAGATGAGGCCCGATTCTCCTGCAGTGCATGCAGAGCAATTCCGTGATCCCCATCAAACAAGTCAGGACCTTCGACTTGCTTAATGGATCTCGAGACAGTCCCCAAGAATACTGTCAAATGTCTAGACGGATCCTGAGGTCACCCCATCAACGCAAAGCAGCACCATGTGCCCCACATCAACTCGAGATAATGCCCGATTCCCCTGCATTGACTCCAGAGCCATCCCCCGTTCCACATTAAAAACCACCAGTGGCTTGACTTCCTTCAGACAACTCCAGAGATGCCCTGAGAACAATGTCCCAAGTCTAGAGGAACACCATCTTCAGCACAGCAACTCGAGGAATGCTCCGTGTACCCCAAATCGTCTCGAGATGAGAACTGATTCCCTGGCTTAGGCTCAAGACGTATGCCAACTTTCCAGAAGCACCTCAAGGGGAGGCTTCTCTCAGCAATAGGTATGTTGGAGGGACCCCCAGTTTGCTGCCTCAAGTGGAATATGCAGCGAGAAGCCCTAACTTGAAAGGAGGCCGGGTTTCCTTGCAGTGTCTTGAATACAGGCTCGTCTTTCATCTCACAACGGGAAGGAATGTCTGAATCCCCTGTGGAGAACTTAGCGAAAGACCTAGGTCCCTGCCTCATTTTGACGGATTGCCTCACATACCGTTGACACCTCGAGAGGCACCCGGAGTTCACTGCTTCAAATGTGATGATGCCTGACTCCTCCTGAACATTGATAGGAATCCCACAATCACTGTGGCTACTGGAAAGGGTACTTGTGTGCCCTGCCTCACCTCGAGAAGCATCCCTTTTGCCCTGCCAAGGCTCGAAAAGATTCCTGAGGTGTCCCTCATTACTAGACAGGAGTCATGACGTCACTGAATAAACACGTGTTTTCAAGGGCCAAGCCCGCCATAACTCGAGAACATACCCCACGTACCGCCGCGACTCGAGAAAAACCATGAGACTTCCCCTAGATGCGATATGAGGCCTGATTCTCTGCAGTCCATGCAGAGCATTCCCGTGATCCCAATCAAGCAAGTCAGCAGCTTCGAATTGCTTAATGGATCTCGAGAGAGTCCCCACGAACACTGTCACAAGTCTAGACAGACCCTGACATCACCCAAGCAAAGCAAAGCAGGTCCAAGTACCCCACATCACCTCGAGTTGAGGCCCGATTCCCATGCATTGACTCCAGAGCCATCCCCCGTACCCCATTAAACACCACCAGTGGCTTGACTTCCTTCAGGCAACTCCAGAGATGCCCCGAGAACACTGTCCCACGTCTAGAGGAATACGAACTTCAGCACAGCAACTCGAGGAATGCTCCGTGTACCCCAAATCGTTTCGAGGTGAGAGCTGATTCCATGGCTTAGGCTCAAGACGTATGCAAACTTTCCAGAAGCACCTCAAGCGGAGGATTCTCTCAGCAATAGATATGTTGGAGGGACCCCCACTTTGCTGCCTCAAGTGGAATATACAGCAAGAAGCCCTAACTTGAAAGGAGGCCGGATTTCCTTGTAGTGTCTTGAATACAGGCTCGTCTTTCATCTCACAACCGGAAGGGATGTCTGAATCCCCTGTGTAGAACTTAGAGAAAGCCCTAGGTCCCTGCCTCATTTTGACGGATTGCCTCACATCCCGTTGAAACCTCGAAAGGCACGCGGAGTTCACTGCTTCAAAAGGTGATGATGCCTGACTCGTCTTGAATTTTGATAGGAATCCCAAAATCCCTGTGGCTATTTGAAAGGTTCCTTGGGTGTCCTGCCTCACCTCGAGAAGCGTCCCTTGTGCCTGCCAAGCCTCGAAGAGATTCCTGAGCTGTCCCTCGTTACTGGACAGGAGTCCTGACGTCACTGAATAAACAGGAGTTTTTAAGGGCCATCCCCGCTGTAACCCGAGTACATACCCCAGGTCCCTGCCGCAAGTCGAGAAAAACCATGAGACTTTCCCCTAGTGGCGAGATGAGGCCCGATTCTCCTGCAGTGCATGCAGAGCAATTCCGTGATCCCCATCAAACAAGTCAGGACCTTCGACTTGCTTAATGGATCTCGAGACAGTCCCCAAGAATACGGTTCATGTCTAGATGGATCCTGAGGTCACCCCATCAACGCAAAGCAGCACCATGTGCCCCACATCAACTCGAGATAATGCCCGATTCCCCTGCATTGACTGCAGAGCCATCCCCCGTTCCACATTAAACACCACCAGTGGCTTGACTTCCTTCAGACAACTCCAGAGATGCCCTGAGAACACTGTCCCAAGTCTAGAGGAACACCATCTTCAGCACAGCAACTCGAGGAATGCTCCGTGTACCCCAAATCGTCTCGAGATGAGAGCTGATTCCCTGGCTTAGGCTCAAGACGTATGCCAACTTTCCAGAAGCACCTCAAGGGGAGGCTTCTCTCAGCAATAGGTATGTTGGAGGGACCCCCAGTTTGCTGCCTCAAGTGGAATATGCAGCGAGAAGCCCTAACTTGAAAGGAGGCCGGGTTTCCTTGCAGTGTCTTGAATACAGGCTCGTCTTTCATCTCACAACGGGAAGGAATGTCTGAATCCCCTGTGGAGAACTTAGCGAAAGACCTAGGTCCCTGCCTCATTTTGCCGGATTGCCTCACATCCCGTTGACACCTCGAGAGGCACCCGGAGTTCACTGCTTCAAATGTGATGATGCCTGACTCCTCCTGAACATTGATAGGAATCCCAAAATCACTGTAGCTACTGGAAAGGGTTCTTGTGTGCCCTGCCTCACCTCGAGAAGCATCCCTTTTGCCCTGCCAAGGCTCGAAAAGATTCCTGAGGTGTCCCTCATTACTAGACAGGAGTCATTACGTCACTGAATAAACACGTGTTTTCAAGGGCCAAGCCCGCCATAACTCGAGAACATACCCCACGTACCGCCGCGACTCGAGAAAAACCATGAGACTTCCCCTAGATGCGATATGAGGCCTGATTCTCTGCAGTCCATGCAGAGCATTCCCGTGATCCCAATCAAGCAAGTCAGCAGCTTCGAATTGCTTAATGGATCTCGAGAGAGTCCCCACGAACACTGTCACAAGTCTAGACAGACCCTGACATCACCCAAGCAAAGCAAAGCAGGTCCAAGTACCCCACATCACCTCGAGTTGAGGCCCGATTCCCATGCATTGACTCCAGAGCCATCCCCCGTACCCCATTAAACACCACCAGTGGCTTGACTTCCTTCAGGCAACTCCAGAGATGCCCCGAGAACACTGTCCCACGTCTAGAGGAATACGAACTTCAGCACAGCAACTCGAGGAATGCTCCGTGTACCCCAAATCGTTTCGAGGTGAGAGCTGATTCCATGGCTTAGGCTCAAGACGTATGCAAACTTTCCAGAAGCACCTCAAGCGGAGGATTCTCTCAGCAATAGATATGTTGGAGGGACCCCCACTTTGCGGCCTCAAGTGGAATATACAGCGAGAAGCCCTAACTTGAAAGGATGCCGGGTTTCCTTGCAGTGTCTTGAATACAGGCTCGTCTTTCATCTCACAACGGGAAGGAATGTCTGAATCCCCTGTGGAGACCTTAGCGAAAGCCCTAGGTCCCTGCCTCATTTTGACGGATTGCCTCACATCCCGTTGACACCTCGAGAGGCACCCGGAGTTCACTGCTTCAAATGTGACGATGCCTGACTCCTCCTGAACATTGATAGGAATCCCAAAATCACTGTGGCTACAGGAAAGGGTTCTTGTGTGCCCTGCCTCACCTCGAGAAGCATCCCTTTTGCCCTGCCAAGGCTCGAAAAGATTCCTGAGGTGTCCCTCATTACTAGACAGGAGTCATGACGTCACTGAATAAACACGTGTTTTCAAGGGCCAAGCCCGATATAACTCGAGAACATACCCCACGTACCGCCGCGACTCGAGAAAAACCATGAGACTTCCCCTAGATGCGATATGAGGCCTGATTCCCTGCAGTCCATGCAGAGCATTCCTGTGATCCCAATCAAGCAAGTCAGCAGCTTCGAATTGCTTAATGGATCTCGAGAGAGTCCCCAGGAACACTGTCACAAGTCTAGACAGACCCTGACATCACCCCAGCAAAGCAAAGCAGGTCCAAGTACCCCACATCACCTCGAGTTGAGGCCCGATTCCCATGCATTGACTCCAGAGCCATTCCCCGTACCCCATTAAACACCACCAGTGGCTTGACTTCCTTCAGGCAACTCCAGAGATGCCCCGAGAACACTGTCCCAAGTCTAGAGGAATACGAACTTCAGCACAGCAACTCGAGGAATGCTCCGTGTACCCCAAATCGTTTCGAGGTGAGAGCTGATTCCATGGCTTAGGCTCAAGACGTATGCCAACTTTCCAGAAGCCCCTCAAGAGGAGGCTTCTCTCAGCAATAGGTATGTGGGAGGGACCCCGAATTTGCTGCCTCAAGTGGAATATACAGCGAGAAGCCCTAACTTGAAAGGAGGCCGGATTTCCTTGCAGTGGCTTGCATACAGGCTCGTCTTTCATCTCACAGCATGAAGGGATGTCTGAATCCCCTGTGGAGACCTTAGAGAAAGCTCTAGGTCCCTGCCTCATTTTGACGGAATGCCTCACATCCCGTTGACACTTCGAGAGGCACGCGGAATTCACTGCTTCAAAAGGTGATGATGCCTGACTCGTCTTGAATATTGATAGGAATCCCAAAATCCCTGTGGCTATTTGAAAGGTTCCTTGGGTGTCCTGCCTCACCTCGAGAAGCGTCCCTTGTGCCTGCCAAGCCTCGAAGAGATTCCTGAGCTGTCCCTCGTTACTGGACAGGAGTCCTGACGTCACTGAATAAACAGGAGTTTTTAAGGGCCATCCCCGCTGTAACCCGAGTACATACCCCAGGTCCCCGCCGCAAGTCGAGAAAAACCATGAGACTTTCCCCTAGTGGCGAGATGAGGCCCGATTCTCCTGCAGTGCCTGCAGAGCAATTCCGTGATCCCCATCAAACAAGTTAGGACCTTCGACTTGCTTAATGGATCTCGAGACAGTCCCCAAGAATACTGTCACATGTCTAGACGGATCCAGAGGTCACCCCATCAACGCAAAGCAGCACCATGTGCCCCACATCAACTCGAGATAATCCCCGATTCCCCTGCATTGACTCCAGAGCCATCCCCCGTTCCACATTAAACACCACCAGTGGCTTGACTTCCTTCAGACAACTCCAGAGATGCCCTGAGAACACTGTCCCAAGTCTAGAGGAACACCATCTTCAGCACAGCAACTCGAGGAATGCTCCGTGTACCCCAAATCGTCTCGAGATGAGAGGTGATTCCATGGCTTAGGCTCAAGACGTATGCCAACTTTCCAGAAGCACCTCAAGGGGAGGCTTCTCTCAGCAATAGGTATGTTGGAGGGACCCCCAGTTTGCTGCCTCAAGTGGAATATGCAGCGAGAAGCCCTAACTTGAAAGGAGGCCGGGTTTCCTTGCAGTGTCTTGAATACAGGCTCGTCTTTCATCTCACAACGGGAAGGAATGTCTGAATCCCCTGTGGAGACCTTAGCGAAAGCCCTAGGTCCCTGCCTCATTTTGACGGATTGCCTCACATCCCGTTGACACCTCGAGAGGCACACGGAGTACACTGCTTCAAATGTGACGATGCCTGACTCCTCCTGAACATTGATAGGAATCCCAAAATCACTGTGGCTACAGGAAAGGGTTCTTGTGTGCCCTGCATCACCTCGAGAAGCATCCCTTTTGCCCTGCCAAAGCTCGAAAAGATTCATGAGGTGTCCCTCATTACTAGACAGGAGTCATGACGTCACTGAATAAACACGTGTTTTCAAGGGCCAAGCCCGCCATAACTCGAGAACATACCCCACGTACCGCCGCGACTCGAGAAAAACCATGAGACTTCCCCTAGATGCGATATGAGGCCTGATTCCCTGCAGTCCATGCAGAGCATTCCTGTGATCCCAATCAAGCAAGTCAGCAGCTTCGAATTGCTTAATGGATCTCGAGAGAGTAACCAGGAACACTGTCACAAGTCTAGACAGACCCTGACATCACCCCAGCAAAGCAAAGCAGGTCCAAGTACCCCACATCACCTCGAGTTGGGGCCCGATTCCCATGCATTGACTCCAGAGCCATCACCCGTACCCTATTAAACACCACCAGTGGCTTGACTTCCTTCAGGCAACTCCAGAGATGCCCCGAGAACACAGTCCCAATTCTAGAGGAATACGAAGTTCAGCACAGCAACTCGAGGAATGCTCCGTGTACCCCAAATCGTTTCGAGGTGAGAGCTGATTCCATGGCTTAGGCTCAAGACGTATGCCAACTTTCCAGAAGCCCCTCAAGCGGAGGATTCTCTCAGCAATAGGTATGTTGGAGGGACCCCCACTTTGCTGCCTCAAGTGGAATATACAGCGAGAAGCCCTAACTTGAAAGGAGGCCGGATTTCCTTGCAGTGGCTTGAATACAGGCTCGTCTTTCATCTCACAGCATGAAGGGATGTCTGAATCCCCTGTGGAGACCTTAAAGAAAGCTCTAGGTCCCTGCCTCATTTTGACGGAATACCTCACATCCCGTTGACACTTCGAGAGGCACGCGGAATTCACTGCTTCAAAAGGTGATGATGCCTGACTCGTCTTGAATATTGATAGGAATCCCAAAACCCCTGTGGCTATTTGAAAGGTTCCTTGGGTGTCCTGCCTCACCTCGAGAAGCGTCCCTTGTGCCTGCCAAGCCTCGAAGAGATTCCTGAGCTGTCCCTCGTTACTGGACAGGAGTCCTGACGTCACTGAATAAACAGGAGTTTTTAAGGGCCATCCCCGCTGTAACCCGAGTACATACCCCTGGTCCCCGCCGCAAGTCGAGAAAAACCATGAGACTTTCCCCTAGTGGCGAGATGAGGCCCGATTCTCCTGCAGTGCATGCAGAGCAATTCCGTGATACCCATCAAACAAGTCAGGACCTTCGACTTGCTTAATGGATCTCGAGACAGTCCCCAAGAATACTGTCACATGTCTAGACGGATCCTGAGGTAAACCCATCAATGCAAAGCAGCACCATGTGCCCCACATCAACTCGAGATAATGCCCGATTCCCCTGCATTGATTCCAGAGCCATCCCCCGTTCCACATTAAACACCACCAGTGGCTTGACTTCCTTCAGACATTCCAGAGATGCCCTGAGAACACTGTCCAAAGTCTAGAGGAACACCATCTTCAGCACAGCAACTCGAGGAATGCTCCGTGTACCCCAAATCGTCTCGAGATGAGAGCTGATTCCCTGGCTTAGGCTCAAGACGTATGCCAACTTTCCAGAAGCACCTCAAGGGGAGGCTTCTCTCAGCAATAGGTATGTTGGAGGACCCCAGTTTGCTGCCTCAAGTGGAATATGCAGCGAGAAGCCCTAACTTGAAAGGAGGCCGGGTTTCCTTGCAGTGTCTTGAATACAGGCTCGTCTTTCATCTCACAACGGGAAGGAATGTCTGAATCCCCTGTGGAGACCTTAGCGAAAGCCCTAGGTCCCTGCCTCATTTTGACGGATTGCCTCACATCCCGTTGACACCTCGAGAGGCACACGGAGTTCACTGCTTCAAATGTGACGATGCCTGACTCCTCCTGAACATTGATAGGAATCCCAAAATCACTGTGGCTACAGGAAAGGGTTCTTGTGTGCCCTGCCTCACCTCGAGAAGCATCCCTTTTGCCCTGCCAAGGCTCGAAGAGATTCCTGAGGTGTCCCTCATTACTAGACAGGAGTCATGACGTCACTGAATAAACACGTGTTTTCAAGGGCCAAGCCCGCCATAACTCGAGAACATACCCCACGTACCGCCGCGACTCGAGAAAAACCAGGAGACTTCCCCTAGATGCGATATGAGGCCTGATTCCCTGCAGTCCATGCAGAGCATTCCCGTGATCCCAATGAAGCAAGTCAGCAGCTTCGAATTGCTTAATGGATTTCGAGAGAGTCGCCAGGAACACTGTCACAAGTCTAGACAGACCCTGACATCACCCCAGCAAAGCAAAGCAGGTCCAAGTACCCCACATCACCTCGAGTTGAGGCCCGATTCCCATGCATTGACTCCAGAGCCATCCCCCGTACCCCATTAAACACCACCAGTGGCTTGACTTCCTTCAGGCAACTACAGAGATGCCCCGAGAACACTGTCCCAAGTCTAGAGGAATACGAACTTCAGCACAGCAACTCGAGTAATGCTCGGTGTACCCCAAATCGTTTCGAGGTGAGAGCTGATTCCATGGCTTAGGCTCAAGACGTATGCCAACTTTCCAGAAGCACCTCAAGCGGAGGATTCTCTCAGCAATAGATATGTTGGAGGGACCCCCACTTTGCTGCCTCAAGTGGAATATACAGCAAGAAGCCCTAACTTGAAAGGAGGCCGGATTTCCTTGTAGTGTCTTGAATACAGGCTCGTCTTTCATCTCACAACCGGAAGGGATGTCTGAATCCCCTGTGTAGAACTTAGAGAAAGCCCTAGGTCCCTGCCTCATTTTGACGGATTGCCTCACATCCCGTTGACACCTCGAAAGGCACGCGGAGTTCACTGCTTCAAAAGGTGATGATGCCTGACTCGTCTTGAATTTTGATAGGAATCCCAAAATCCCTGTGGCTATTTGAAAGGTTCCTTGGGTGTCCTGCCTCACCTCGAGAAGCGTCCCTTGTGCCTGCCAAGCCTCGAAGAGATTCCTGAGCTGTCCCTCGTTACTGGACAGGAGTCCTGACGTCACTGAATAAACAGGAGTTTTTAAGGGCCATCCCCGCTGTAACCCGAGTACATACCCCAGGTCCCTGCCGCAAGTCGAGAAAAACCATGAGACTTTCCCCTAGTGGCGAGATGAGGCCCGATTCTCCTGCAGTGCATGCAGAGCAATTCCGTGATCCCCATCAAACAAGTCAGGACCTTCGACTTGCTTAATGGATCTCGAGACAGTCCCCAAGAATACGGTTCATGTCTAGATGGATCCTGAGGTCACCCCATCAACGCAAAGCAGCACCATGTGCCCCACATCAACTCGAGATAATGCCCGATTCCCCTGCATTGACTGCAGAGCCATCCCCCGTTCCACATTAAACACCACCAGTGGCTTGACTTCCTTCAGACAACTCCAGAGATGCCCTGAGAACACTGTCCCAAGTCTAGAGGAACACCATCTTCAGCACAGCAACTCGAGGAATGCTCCGTGTACCCCAAATCGTCTCGAGATGAGAGCTGATTCCCTGGCTTAGGCTCAAGACGTATGCCAACTTTCCAGAAGCACCTCAAGGGGAGGCTTCTCTCAGCAATAGGTATGTTGGAGGGACCCCCAGTTTGCTGCCTCAAGTGGAATATGCAGCGAGAAGCCCTAACTTGAAAGGAGGCCGGGTTTCCTTGCAGTGTCTTGAATACAGCCTCGTCTTTCATCTCACAACGGGAAGGAATGTCTGAATCCCCTGTGGAGAACTTAGCGAAAGACCTAGGTCCCTGCCTCATTTTGACGGATTGCCTCACATCCCGTTGACACCTCGAGAGGCACCCGGAGTTCACTGCTTCAAATGTGATGATGCCTGACTCCTCCTGAACATTGATAGGAATCCCAAAATCACTGTAGCTACTGGAAAGGGTTCTTGTGTGCCCTGCCTCACCTCGAGAAGCATCCCTTTTGCCCTGCCAAGGCTCGAAAAGATTCCTGAGGTGTCCCTCATTACTAGACAGGAGTCATGACGTCACTGAATAAACACGTGTTTTCAAGGGCCAAGCCCGCCATAACTCGAGAACATACCCCACGTACCGCCGCGACTCGAGAAAAACCATGAGACTTCCCCTAGATGCGATATGAGGCCTGATTCTCTGCAGTCCATGCAGAGCATTCCCGTGATCCCAATCAAGCAAGTCAGCAGCTTCGAATTGCTTAATGGATCTCGAGAGAGTCCCCACGAACACTGTCACAAGTCTAGACAGACCCTGACATCACCCAAGCAAAGCAAAGCAGGTCCAAGTACCCCACATCACCTCGAGTTGAGGCCCGATTCCCATGCATTGACTCCAGAGCCATCCCCCGTACCCCATTAAACACCACCAGTGGCTTGACTTCCTTCAGGCAACTCCAGAGATGCCCCGAGAACACTGTCCCACGTCTAGAGGAATACGAACTTCAGCACAGCAACTCGAGGAATGCTCCGTGTACCCCAAATCGTTTCGAGGTGAGAGCTGATTCCATGGCTTAGGCTCAAGACGTATGCAAACTTTCCAGAAGCACCTCAAGCGGAGGATTCTCTCAGCAATAGATATGTTGGAGGGACCCCCACTTTGCGGCCTCAAGTGGAATATACAGCGAGAAGCCCTAACTTGAAAGGAGGCCGGGTTTCCTTGCAGTGTCTTGAATACAGGCTCGTCTTTCATCTCACAACGGGAAGGAATGTCTGAATCCCCTGTGGAGACCTTAGCGAAAGCCCTAGGTCCCTGCCTCATTTTGACGGATTGCCTCACATCCCGTTGACACCTCGAGAGGCACCCGGAGTTCACTGCTTCAAATGTGACGATGCCTGACTCCTCCTGAACATTGATAGGAATCCCAAAATCACTGTGGCTACAGTAAAGGGTTCTTGTGTGCCCTGCCTCACCTCGAGAAGCATCCCTTTTGCCCTGCCAAGGCTCGAAAAGATTCCTGAGGTGTCCCTCATTACTAGACAGGAGTCATGACGTCACTGAATAAACACGTGTTTTCAAGGGCCAAGCCCGCCATAACTCGAGAACATACCCCACGTACCGCCGCGACTCGAGAAAAACCATGAGACTTCCCCTAGATGCGATATGAGGCCTGATTCCCTGCAGTCCATGCAGAGCATTCCTGTGATCCCAATCAAGCAAGTCAGCAGCTTCGAATTGCTTAATGGATCTCGAGAGAGTCCCCAGGAACACTGTCACAAGTCTAGACAGACCCTGACATCACCCCAGCAAAGCAAAGCAGGTCCAAGTACCCCACATCACCTCGAGTTGAGGCCCGATTCCCATGCATTGACTCCAGAGCCATTCCCCGTACCCCATTAAACACCACCAGTGGCTTGACTTCCTTCAGGCAACTCCAGAGATGCCCCGAGAACACTGTCCCAAGTCTAGAGGAATACGAACTTCAGCACAGCAACTCGAGGAATGCTCCGTGTACCCCGAATCGTTTCGAGGTGAGAGCTGATTCCATGGCTTATGCTCAAGACGTATGCCAACTTTCCAGAAGCCCCTCAAGAGGAGGCTTCTCTCAGCAATAGGTATGTGGGAGGGACCCCGAATTTGCTGCCTCAAGTGGAATATACAGCGAGAAGCCCTAACTTGTAAGGAGGCCGGATTTCCTTGCAGTGGCTTGAATACAGGCTCGTCTTTCATCTCACAGCATGAAGGGATGTCTGAATCCCCTGTGGAGACCTTAGAGAAAGCTCTAGGTCCCTGCCTCATTTTGACGGAATGCCTCACATCCCGTTGACACTTCGAGAGGCACGCGGAATTCACTGCTTCAAAAGGTGATGATGCCTGACTCGTCTTGAATATTGATAGGAATCCCAAAATCCCTGTGGCTATTTGAAAGGTTCCTTGGGTGTCCTGCCTCACCTCGAGAAGCGTCCCTTGTGCCTGCCAAGCCTCGAAGAGATTCCTGAGCTGTCCCTCGTTACTGGACAGGAGTCCTGACGTCACTGAATAAACAGGAGTTTTTAAGGGCCATCCCCGCTGTAACCCGAGTACATACCCCTGGTCCCCGCCGCAAGTCGAGAAAAACCATGAGAGTTTCCCCTAGTGGCGAGATGAGGCCCGATTCTCCTGCAGTGCCTGCAGAGCAATTCCGTGATCCCCATCAAACAAGTTAGGACCTTCGACTTGCTTAATGGATCTCGAGACAGTCCCCAAGAATACTGTCACATGTCTAGACGGATCCTGAGGTCACCCCATCAACGCAAAGCAGCACCATGTGCCCCACATCAACTCGAGATAATCCCCGATTCCCCTGCATTGACTCCAGAGCCATCCCCCGTTCCACATTAAACACCACCAGTGGCTTGACTTCCTTCAGACAACTCCAGAGATGCCCTGAGAACACTGTCCCAAGTCTAGAGGAACACCATCTTCAGCACAGCAACTCGAGGAATGCTCCGTGTACCCCAAATCGTCTCGAGATGAGAGGTGATTCCATGGCTTAGGCTCAAGACGTATGCCAACTTTCCAGAAGCACCTCAAGGGGAGGCTTCTCTCAGCAATAGGTATGTTGGAGGGACCCCCAGTTTGCTGCCTCAAGTGGAATATGCAGCGAGAAGCCCTAACTTGAAAGGAGGCCGGGTTTCCATGCAGTGTCTTGAATACAGGCTCGTCTTTCATCTCACAACGGGAAGGAATGTCTGAATCCCCTGTGGAGACCTTAGCGAAAGCCCTAGGTCCTGCCTCATTTTGACGGATTGCCTCACATCCCGTTGACACCTCGAGAGGCACAGGGAGTACACTGCTTCAAATATGACGATGCCTGACTCCTCCTGCACATTGATAGGAATCCCAAAATCACTGTGGCTACAGGAAAGGGTTCTTGTGTGCCCTGCATCACCTCGAGAAGCATCCCTTTTGCCCTGCCAAGGCTCGAAAAGATTCATGAGGTGTCCCTCATTACTAGACAGGAGTCATGAAGTCACTGAATAAACACGTGTTTTCAAGGGCCAAGCCCGCCATAACTCGAGAACATACCCCACGTACCGCCGCGACTCGAGAAAAACCATGAGACTTCCCCTAGATGCGATATGAGGCCTGATTCCCTGCTGTCCATGCAGAGCATTCCTGTGATCCCAATCAAGCAAGTCAGCAGCTTCGAATTGCTTAATGGATCTCGAGAGAGTAACCAGGAACACTGTCACAAGTCTAGACAGACCCTGACATCACCCCAGCAAAGCAAAGCAGGTCCAAGTACCCCACATCACCTCGAGTTGGGGCCCGATTCCCATGCATTGACTCCAGAGCCATCACCCGTACCCTATTAAACACCACCAGTGGCTTGACTTCCTTCAGGCAACTCCAGAGATGCCCCGAGAACACAGTCCCAATTCTAGAGGAATACGAAGTTCAGCACAGCAACTCGAGGAATGCTCCGTGTACCCCAAATCGTTTCGAGGTGAGAGCTGATTCCATGGCTTAGGCTCAAGACGTATGCCAACTTTCCAGAAGCCCCTCAAGCGGAGGATTCTCTCAGCAATAGGTATGTTGGAGGGACCCCCACTTTGCTGCCTCAAGTGGAATATACAGCGAGAAGCCCTAACTTGAAAGGAGGCCGGATTTCCTTGCAGTGGCTTGAATACAGGCTCGTCTTTCATCTCACAGCATGAAGGGATGTCTGAATCCCCTGTGGAGACCTTAAAGAAAGCTCTAGGTCCCTGCCTCATTTTGACGGAATACCTCACATCCCGTTGACACTTCGAGAGGCACGCGGAATTCACTGCTTCAAAAGGTGATGATGCCTGACTCGTCTTGAATATTGATAGGAATCCCAAAACCCCTGTGGCTATTTGAAAGGTTCCTTGGGTGTCCTGCCTCACCTCGAGAAGCGTCCCTTGTGCCTGCCAAGCTTCGAAGAGATTCCTGAGCTGTCCCTCGTTACTGGACAGGAGTCCTGACGTCACTGAATAAACAAGAGTTTTTAAGGGCCATCCCCGCTGTAACCCGAGTACATACCCCTGGTCCCCGCCGCAAGTCGAGAAAAACCATGAGACTTTCCCTTAGTGGCGAGATGAGGCCCGATTCTCCTGCAGTGCATGCAGAGCAATTCCGTGATACCCATCAAACAAGTCAGGACCTTCGACTTGCTTAATGGATCTCGAGACAGTCCCCAAGAATACTGTCACATGTCTAGACGGATCCTGAGGTAAACCCATCAATGCAAAGCAGCACCATGTGCCCCACATCAACTCGAGATAATGCCCGATTCCCCTGCATTGATTCCAGAGCCATCCCCCGTTCCACATTAAACACCACCAGTGGCTTGACTTCCTTCAGACATTCCAGAGATGCCCTGAGAACACTGTCCAAAGTCTAGAGGAACACCATCTTCAGCACAGCAACTCGAGGAATGCTCCGTGTACCCCAAATCGTCTCGAGATGAGAGCTGATTCCCTGGCTTAGGCTCAAGACGTATGCCAACTTTCCAGAAGCACCTCAAGGGGAGGCTTCTCTCAGCAATAGGTATGTTGGAGGACCCCAGTTTGCTGCCTCAAGTGGAATATGCAGCGAGAAGCCCTAACTTGAATGGAGGCCGGGTTTCCTTGCAGTGTCTTGAATACAGGCTCGTCTTTCATCTCACAACGGGAAGGAATGTCTGAATCCCCTGTGGAGACCTTAGCGAAAGCCCTAGGTCCCTGCCTCATTTTGACGGATTGCCTCACATCCCGTTGACACCTCGAGAGGCACACGGAGTTCACTGCTTCAAATGTGACGATGCCTGACTCCTCCTGAACATTGATAGGAATCCCAAAATCACTGTGGCTACAGGAAAGGGTTCTTGTGTGCCCTGCCTCACCTCGAGAAGCATCCCTTTTGCCCTGCCAAGGCTCGAAGAGATTCCTGAGGTGTCCCTCATTACTAGACAGGAGTCATGACGTCACTGAATAAACACGTGTTTTCAAGGGCCAAGCCCGCCATAACTCGAGAACATACCCCACGTACCGCCGCGACTCGAGATAAACCATGAGACTTCCCCTAGATGCGATATGAGGCCTGATTCCCTGCAGTCCATGCAGAGCATTCCCGTGATCCCAATCAAGCAAGTCAGCAGCTTCGAATTGCTTAATGGATCTCGAGAGAGTCCCCAGGAACACTGTCACAAGTCTAGACAGACCCTGACATCACCCCAGTAAAGCAAAGCAGGTCCAAGTACCCCACATCACCTCGAGTTGAGGCCCGATTCCCATGCATTGACTACAGAGCCATCCCCCGTACCACATTAAACACCACCAGTGGCTTGACTTCCTTCAGGCAACTCCAGAGATGCCCCGAGAACACTGTCCCAAGTCTAGAGGAATACGAACTTCAGCACAGCAACTCGAGGAATGCTCGGTGTACCCCAAATCGTTTCGAGGTGAGAGCTGATTCCATGGCTTAGGCTCAAGACGTATGCCAAGTTTCCAGAAGCACCTCAAGCGGAGGATTCTCTCAACAATAGGTATGTTGGAGGGACCCCCACTTTGCTGCCTCAAGTGGAATATACAGCGAGAAGCCCTAACTTGAAAGGAGGCCGGATTTCCTTGCAGTGTCTTGAATACAGGCTCGTCTTTCATCTCACAACCGGAAGGGATGTCTGAATCCCCTGTGGAGAACTTAGAGAAAGCCCTAGGTCCATGCCTCATTTTGACGGATTGCCTCACATCCCGTTGACACCTCGAGAGGCACGCGGAGTTCACTGCTTCAAAAGGTGATGATACCTGACTCGTCTTGAATATTGATAGGAATCCCAAAATCCCTGTGGCTATTTGAAAGGTTCCTTGGGTGTCCTGCCTCACCTCGAGAAGCGTCCCTTGTGCCTGCCAAGCCTCGAAGACATTCCTGAGCTGTCCCTCGTTACTGGACAGGAGTCCTGACGTCACTGAATAAACAGGAGTTTTTAAGGGCCATCCCCGCTGTAACCCGAGTACATACCCCAGGTCCCCGCCGCAAGTCGAGAAAAACCATGAGACTTTCCCCTAGTGGCGAGATGAGGCCCGATTCTCCTGCAGTGCATGCAGAGCAATTCCGTGATCCCCATAAAACAAGTCAGGACCTTCGACTTGCTTAATGGATCTCGAGACAGTCCCCAAGAATACGGTCACATGTCTAGACGGATCCTGAGGTCACCCCATCAACGCAAAGCAGCACCATGTGCCCCACATCAACTCGAGATAATGCCCGATTCCCCTGCATTGACTCCAGAGCCATCCCCCGTTCCACATTAAACACCACCAGTGGCTTGACTTCCTTCAGACAACTCCAGAGATGCCCTGAGAACACTGTCCCAAGTCTAGAGGAACACCATCTTCAGCACAGCAACTCGAGGAATGCTCCGTGTACCCCAAATCGTCTCGAGATGAGAGCTGATTCCCTGGCTTAGGCTCAAGACGTATGCCAACTTTCCAGAAGCACCTCAAGGGGAGGCTTCCCTCAGAAATAGGTATGTTGGAGGGACCCCTAATTTGCTGCCTCAAGTGGAATATGCAGCGAGAAGCCCTAACTTGAAAGGAGGCCGGGTTTCCTTGCAGTGTCTTGAATACAGGCTCGTCTTTCATCTCACAACGGGAAGGAATATCTGAATCCCCTGTGGAGACCTTAGCGAAAGCCCTAGGTCCCTGCCTCATTTTGACGGATTGCCTCACATCCCGTTGACACCTCGAGAGGCACCCGGAGTTCACTGCTTCAAATGTGATGATGCCTGACTCCTCCTGAACATTGATAGGAATCCCAAAATCACTGTGGCTACAGGAAAGGGTTCTTGTGTGCCCTGCCTCACCTCGAGAAGCATCCCTTTTGCCCTGCCAAGGCTCGAAAAGATTCCTGAGGTGTCCCTCATTACTAGTCAGGAGTCATGACGTCACTGAATAAACACGTGTTTTCAAGGGCCAAGCCCGCCATAACTCGAGAACATACCCCACGTACCGCCGCGACTCGAGAAAAACCATGAGACTTCCCCTAGATGCGATATGAGGCCTGATTCCCTGCAGTCCATGCAGAGCATTCCCGTGATCCCAATCAAGCAAGTCAGCAGCTTCGAATTGCTTAATGGATCTCGAGAGAGTACGCAGGAACACTGTCACAAGTCTAGACAGACCCTGACATCACCCCAGCAAAGCAAAGCAGGTCCAAGTACCCCACATCACCTCGAGTTGAGGCCCGATTCCCATGCATTGACTCCAGAGCCATCCCCCGTACCCCATTAAACACCACCAGTGGCTTGACTTCCTTCAGGCAACTCCAGAGATGCCCCGAGAACACTGTCCCAAGTCTAGAGGAATACGAACTTCAGCACAGCAACTCGAGGAATGCTCCGTGTACCCCAAATCGTTTCGAGGTGAGAGCTGATTCCATGGCTTAGGCTCAAGACGTATGCCAACTTTCCAGAAGCCCCTCAAGAGGAGGCTTCTCACAGCAATAGGTATGTGGGAGGGACCCCGAATTTGCTGCCTCAAGTGGAATATACAGCGAGAAGCCGTAACTTGAAAGGAGGCCGGAATTCCTTGCAGTGGCTTGAATACAGGCTCGTCTTTCATCTCACAGCATGAAGGGATGTCTGAATCCCCTGTGGAGACCTTAAAGAAAGCTCTAGGTCCCTGCCTCATTTTGACGGAATACCTCACATCCCGTTGACACTTCGAGAGGCACGCGGAATTCACTGCTTCAAAAGGTGATGATGCCTGGCTCGTCTTGAATATTGATAGGAATCCCAAAATCCCTGTGGCTATTTGAAAGGTTCCTTGGGTGTCCTGCCTCACCTCGAGAGGCGTCCCTTGTGCCTGCCAAGCCTCGAAGAGATTCCTGCGCTGTCCCTCGTTACTGGACAGGAGTCCTGACGTCACTGAATAAACAGGAGTTTTTAAGGGCCATCCCCGCTGTAACCCGAGTACATACCCCAGGTCCCCGCCGCAAGTCGAGAAAAACCATGAGACTTTCCCCTCGTGGCGAGATGAGGCCCGATTCTCCTGCAGTGCATGCAGAGCAATTCCGTGATCCCCATCAAACAAGTCAGGACCTTCGACTTGCTTAATGGATCTCGAGACAGTCCCCAAGAATACTGTCACATGTCTAGACGGATCCTGAGGTCACCCCATCAACGCAAAGCAGCACCATGTGCCCCACATCAACTCGAGATAATGCCCGATTCCCCTGCATTGACTCCAGAGCCATCCCCCGTTCCACATTAAACACGACCAGTAGCTTGACTTCCTTCAGGCAACTCCAGAGACGCCCTGAGAACACTGTCCCAAGTCTAGAGAAACACCATCTTCAGCACAGCAACTCGAGGAATGCTCCGTGTACCCCAAATCCTTTCGAGATGAGAGCTGATTCCCTGGCTTAGGCTCAAGACGTATGCCAACTTTCCAGAAGCACCTCAAGGGGAGACTTCTCTCAGCAATAGGTATGTTGGAGGGACCCCCAGTTTGCTGCCTCAAGAGGAATATACAGCGAAAAGCCCTAACTTGAAAGGCGGCCGGATTTCCTTGCAGTGTCTTGAATACAGGCTCGTCTTTCATCTCACAACCGGAAGGAATGTCTGAATCCTCTGTGGAGACCTTAGAGAAAGCCCTAGGTCCCTGCCTCATTTTGAAGGAATGTCTCACATCCCGTTGACACCTCGAGAGGCACACGGAGTTCACTGCTTCAAAATGTGATGATGCCTGACTCCTCTTGAACATTGATAGGAATCCCTAAATCACTCTAGCTACAGGACAGGGTTCTTGGGTGCCCTGCCTCACCTCGAGAAGCATCCCTTTTGCCTGCCAAGCCTCGAAGAGATTCCTGAGGTGTCTCTCGTTACTAGACAGGAGTCCTGACCTCACTGAATAAACACATGTTTTGAAGGGCCATCCCCGCCATAACTCAAGAACATACCCCAGGTCCCGCCGCAACTCGAGAAAAACCATGAGACTTCCCCTAGATGCGATATGAGGCCTGATTCCCTGCAGTCCATGCAGAGCATTCCCATGATCCCCATCAAGCAAGTCAGGAGCTTCGACTTCCTTAATCGAACTCGAGAAAGTCCCCAGGAACACTGTCACAAGACTAGACAGACCCTGAGGTCACCCCAGCAATGTAAAGCAGCTCCAAGTACCCCACATCAACTCGCAATGAGGCCCGATTCCCCTGCATTGACTCCAGAGCCATCCCCCGTACCACATTAAACACCACCAGTGGCTTGACTTCCTTCAGGCAACTCCAGAGATGCCCTGAGAACACTGTCCCAAGTCTAGAGGAATACGAACTTCAGCACAGCAACTCGAGGAATGCTCCGTGTACCCCAAATCGTTTCGAGGTGAGAGCTGATTCCATGGCTTAGGCTCAAGACGTATGCCAACTTTCCAGAAGCACCTCAAGAGGAGGCTTCTCTCAGCAGTATGTATGTGGGAGGGACCCCGAGTTTGCTGCCTCAAGTGGAATATACAGCGAGAAGCCCTAACTTGAAAGGAGGCCGGATTTCCTTGCAGTGTCTTGAATACAGGCTCGTCTTTCATCTCACAACCGGAAGGGATGTCTGAATCCCCTGTGGAGAACTTAGAGAAAGCCCTAGGTCCCTGCCTCATTTTGACGGATTGCCTCACATCCTGTTGACACCTCGAGAGGCACGCGGAGTTCACTGCTTCAAAAGGTGATGATGCCTGACTCGTCTTGAATTTTGATAGGAATCCCAAAATCCCTGTGGCTATTTGAAAGGTTCCTTGGGTGTCCTGCCTCACCTCGAGAAGCGTCCCTTGTGCCTGCCAAGCCTCGAAGACATTCCTGAGCTGTCCCTCGTTACTGGACAGGAGTCCTGACGTCACTGAATAAACAGGAGTTTTTAAGGGCCATCCCCGCTGTAACCCGAGTACATACCCCAGGTCCCCGCCGCAAGTCGAGAAAAACCATGAGACTTTCCCCTAGTGGCGAGATGAGGCCCGATTCTCCTGCAGTGCATGCAGAGCAATTCCGTGATCCCCATCAAACAAGTCAGGACCTTCGACTTGCTTAATGGATCTCGAGACAGTCCCCAAGAATACTGTCACATGTCTAGACGGATCCTGAGGTCACCCCATCAACGCAAAGCAGCACCATGTGCCCCACATCAACTCGAGATAATGCCCGATTCCCCTGCATTGACTCCAGAGCCATCCCCCGTTCCACATTAAACACGACCAGTGGCTTGACTTCCTTCAGGCAACTCCAGAGATGCCCGGAGAACACTGTCCCAAGTCTAGAGGAACACCAACTTCAGCACAGCAACTCGAGGAATGCGCCGTGTACCCCAAATCGTCTCGAGATGAGAGCTGATTCCCTGGCTTAGGTTCAAGACGTATGCCAACTTTCCAGAAGCACCTCAAGCGGAGGATTCTCTCAGCAATAGGTATGTTGGAGGGACCTCCACTTTGCTGCCTCAAGTGGAATATACAGCGAGAAGCCCTAACTTGAAAGGAGGCCGGATTTCCTTGCAGTGTCTTCAATACAGGCTCGTCTTTCATCTCACAACAGGAAGGGATTTCTGAATCCCCTGTGGAGACCTTAGAGAAAGCCCTAGGTCCCAGCCTCATTTTGACGGAATGCCTCACATCCCGTTGACACCTCGAGAGGCACACGGAGTTCACTGCTTCAAAATGTGACGATGCCTGTCTCCTCCTGAACATTGATAGGAATCCCAAAATCACTGTGGCTACTGGAAAGGGTTCTTGTGTGCCCTGCCTCACCTCGAGAAGCATCCCTTTTGCCCTGCCAAGCCTCGAAGAGATTCCTGATGTGTCCCTCGTTTCTAGACAGGAGAACTGACGTCACTGAATAAACACGTGTTTTGAAGGGCAATCCCCGCCATAACTCGAAAACATACCCCAGGTCCCGCCGCAACTCGAGTAAAACCATGAGACTTCCCCTAGAGGCGAGATGAGGCCTGATTCCCTGCAGTCCATGAAGAGCATTCCCGTGATCCCTATCAAGCAAGTCAGGAGCTTCGACTTGCTTAATTGAACTCGAGAAAGTCCCCAGGAACACTGTCACAAGTCTAGACGGACCCTGAGGTCACCCCAGCAATGCAAAGCAGCTCCAAGTGCCCCACATCAACTCGAGATGAGGCCCGATTCTCCGGCATTGACTCAAGAGCCATCCCCCGTACCCCATTAAACACCAACACTGGCTTGACTTCATTCAGGCAACACCAGAGATGCCCCGAGAACACTGTTCCAAGTCTAGAGGAACACCAACTTCAGCACAGCAACTCGAGGAATGCTCTGTGTACCCCAAATCGTTTCGAGGTGATAGCTGATTCCCAGGCTTAGGCTCAAGACGTATACCAACTTTCCAGAAGCACCTCAAGAGGAGGCTTCTCTCAGCAATCGGTATGTGGAAGGGAACCCGAGTTTGCTGCCTCAAGTGGAATATACAGTGAGAAGCCCTAACTTGAAAGGAGGCCGGATGTCCTGGCAGTGTGTTGAATACAGGCTCGTCTTTCATCTCACAACAGGAAGGGATGTCTGAATCCCCTGTGGAGACCTTAGAGAAAGCCCTAGGACCCTGCCTCATTTTGAAGGAATGTCTCACATCCCTTTGACACCTTGAGAGGCACACGGAGTTCACTGCTTCAAAATGTGACGATGCCTGACTCCTCCTGAACATTGATAGAAATCCCAAAATCACTGTAGCTTCAGGACAGGGTTCTTGGGTGCCCTGCCTCACCTCGAGAAGCATCCCTTTTGACCTGCCAAGCCTCGAAGAGATTCCTGAGGTGTCTCTCGTTACTAGACAGGAGTCCTGACGTCACTGAATAAACACGTGTTTTGAAGGGCCATCCCCGCCGTAACTCGAGAACATACCCCAGTTCGCGCCGCAACTCGCGTAAAACCAAGAGACTTCCCCTAGAGGCGAGATGAGGCCTGATTCCATGCAGTCCATGAAGAGCATTCCCGTGATCCCTATCAAGCAAGTCAGGAGCTTCGACTTGCTTAATTGAACTCGAGAAAGTCCCCAGGGACACTGTCACAAGTCTAGACAGAACCTGAGGTCACCCCAGCAATGCAAAGCAGCTGCAAGTACCCCACATCAACTCGAGATGAGGCCCGATTCCCATGCATTGACTCCAGAGCCATCCCCAGTTCCACATTAAACAAGACCACAGGCTTGTCTTCCTTCAGACAACTCCAGAGATGCCCCGAGAACACTGTCCCAAGACTAGAGGAACACCAACTTCAGCACAGCAACTCAAGGAATGCCCCGTGTACCACAAATCGTCTCGAGATGAGAGCTGATTCCCTGGCTTAGGCTCAAGACGTATGCCAACTTTCCAGAAGCACCTCAAGAGGAGGCTTCTCTCAGCAATAGGTATGTTCGTGGGACCCCGAGTTTGCTGCCTAAAGTGGAATATACAGCGAGAAGCCCTAACTTGAATGGAGGCCGGATTTCCTTGCAGTGTCTTGTATACAGGCTCGTCTTTCATCTCACAACAGGAAGGGATGTCTGAATCCCCTGTGAAGACCTTTGAGAAAGCCCTAGGTCCCTGCCTCATTGTGACGGAATGCCTCACATCCCGTTGACACCACGAGAGGCACGCGGAGTTCACTGCTTCAAAAGGTGACGATGCCTGACTCCTCTTGAATATTGATAGGAATCCCAAAATCCCTGTGGCTATTGGAAAGGTTCCTTGGGTGCCCTGCCTCATCTCGAGAAGCGTCCCTTGTGCCCCGGCAAGCCTCGAAAAGATTCCTGAGCTGTCCCTCGTTACTGGACAGGAGTCCTGACGTCACTGAATAAACACGTGTTTTGAAGGGCCATCGCCGCCGTAACTCGAGTATATACCCCAGGTCCCCGCCGCAACTCGAGAAAAACCATGAGACTTCCGCCTAGAGGCGAGATGAGGCCCGATTCTCCTGCAGTGCATGCAGAGCAATTCCGTGATCCCCATCAAACAAGTCAGGAGCTTCGACTTGCTTAATGGATCTCGAGACATTCCCCAAGAACACGGTCACATGTCTAGACGGACCCTGAGGTATCCCCAGCAACGCAAAGCAGCTCCATGTGCCCCAAATCAACTTGAGATGAGGTCCGATTCCCCTGAATTGACTCCAGAGCCATCTGCCCTTCCGCATTAAACACCACCAGTGGCTTGACCTCTTTCAGACAACTCCAGAGATGCCCGGAGAACACTGTCCCAAGTCTAGAGGAACACCTACTTTAGCACAGCAACTCGAGGAATGCTTCCTGTATGCCAAATCTTCTCGAGTTGAGAGCTGATTCCCTGGCTTAGGCTCAAGACGTATGCCAACTTTCCAGAAGCACCTCAAGAGGGGGCTTCTCTCAGCAATAGGTATGTGGGAGGGAACCCGAGTTTGCTGCCTCAAATGGAATATACAGCGAGAAGCACTAACTAGAATGGAGGCCGGTTTCCTAGCAGTGTCTTGAATACAGGCACGTCTTTCATCTCACAGCAGGAAGAGATGTCTGAATCCCCTGTGGAGACCTTAGAGAAAGCCCTAGATCCCTGCCTCATTTTGACGGAATGCCTCACATCCCGTTGACACATCGAGAGTCACGCGGAGTTCACTGCTTCAAAAGCTGACGATGCCTGACTCCTCCTGAACATTGATAGGAATCCCAAAATCACTGTAGCTACAGGACAGGGTTCTTGGGTGCCCTGCCTCACCTCGAGAAGCATCCCTTTTGCCCTGCCAAGCCTCGAAGAGATTCCTGAGCTGTCCCTCGTTACTGGACAGGAGTCCTGACGTCACTGAATAAACAGGAGTTTTTAAGGGCCATCCCCGCTGTAAACCGAGTACATACCCCAGGTCCCCGCTGCAAGTCAAGAAAAACCATGAGACTTTCCCCTAGTGGCGAGATGTGGCCCGATTCTCCTGCAGTGCATGCAGAGCAATTCCGTGATCCCCATCAAACAAGTCAGGACCTTCGACTTGCTTAATGGATCTCGAGACAGTCCCCAAGAATACTATCACATGTCTAGTTGGATCCTGAGGTCACCCCATCAACGCAAAGCAGCACCATGTGCCCCACATCAACTCGAGATAATGCCCGATTCCCCTGCATTGACCACAGAGCCATCCCCCGTTCCAGATTAAACAACACCAGTGGCTTGACTTCCTTCAGACAACTCCAGAGATGCCCTGAGAACACTGTCCCAAGTCTAGAGGAACACCATCTTCAGCACAGCAACTCGAGGAATGCTCCGTGTACCCCAAATCGTCTGGAGATGAGAGCTGATTCCCTGGCTTAGGCTCAAGACGTATGCCAACTTTCCAGAAGCACCTCAAGGGGAGGCTTCTTTCAGCAATAGTTATGTTGGAGGGACCCCCAGTTTGCTGCCTCAAGTGGAATATGCAGCGAGAAGCCCTAACTTGAAAGGAGGCCGGGTTTCCTTGCAGTGTCTTGAATACAGGCTCGTCTTTCATCTCACAACGGGAAGGAATGTCTGAATCCCCTGTGGAGACCTTAGCGAAAGCCCTAGGTCCCTGCCTCATTTTGACGGATTGCCTCACATCCCGTTGACACCTCGAGAGGCACCCGGAGTTCACTGCTTCAAATGTGACGATGCCTGACCCCTCCTGAACATTGATAGGAATCCCAAAATCACTTTGGCTACAGGAAAGGGTTCTTGTGTGCCCTGCCTCACCTCGAGAAGCATCCCTTTTGCCCTGCCAAGGCTCGAAAAGATTCCTGAGGTGTCCCTCATTACTAGACAGGAGTCATGACGTCACTGAATAAACACGTGTTTTCAAGGGCCATGCCCGCCATAACTCGAGAACATACCCCACGTACCGCCGCGACTCGAGAAAAACCATGAGACTTCCCCTAGATGCGAGATGAGGCCTGATTCCCTGCAGTCCATGCAGAGCATTCCCGTGATCCCAATCAAGCAAGTCAGCAGCTTCGAATTGCTTAATGGATCTCGAGACAGTCCCCAGGAACACTGTCACAAGTCTAGACAGACCCTGACATCACCCCAGGAACGCAAAGCAGGTCCAAGTACCCCACATCACCTCGCGTTGAGGCCCGATTCCCATGCATTGACTCCAGAGCCATCCCCCGTTCCACATTAAACACGACCAGTAGCTTGACTTCCTTCAGGCAACTCCAGAGATGCCCCGAGAACACTGTCCCAAGTCTAGAGAAACACCATCTTCAGCACAGCAACTCGAGGAATGCTCCGTGTACCCCAAATCGTCTCGAGGTGAGAGCTGATTCCCTGGCTTAGGCTCAAGACGTATGCCAACTTTCCAGAAGCCCCTCAAGGGGAGGATTCTCTCAGCAATAGGTATGTTGGAGGGACCCCCAGTTTGCTGCCTCAAGAGGAATATACAGCGAAAAGCCCTAACTTGAAAGGAGGCCGGATTTCCTTGCAGTGTCTTGAATACAGGCTCGTCTTTCATCTCACAACCGGAAGGAATGTCTGAATCCTCTGTGGAGACCTTAGAGAAAGCCCTAGGTCCCTGCCTCATTTTGAAGGAATGTCTCACATCCCGTTGACACCTCGAGAGGCACACGGAGTTCACTGCTTCAAAATGTGATGATGCCTGACTCCTCTTGAATATTGATAGGAATCCCTAAATCCCTGTGGCTATTTGAAAGGTTCCTTGGGTGTCCTGCCTCACCTCGAGAAGCATCCCTTGTGCCTGCCAAGCCTCGAAGAGATTCCTGAGGTGTCTCTCGTTACTAGACAGGAGTCCTGACGTCACTGAATAAACACATGTTTTGAAGGGCCATCCCCGCCATAACTCAAGAACATACCCCAGGTCCCGCCGCAACTCGAGAAAAACCATGAGACTTCCCCTAGATGCGATATGAGGCCTGATTCCCTGCAGTCCATGCAGAGCATTCCCATGATCCCCATCAAGCAAGTCAGGAGCTTCGACTTCCTTAATCGAACTCGAGAAAGTCCCCAGGAACACTGTCACAAGACTAGACAGAAACTGAGGTCACCACAGCAATGTAAAGCAGCTCCAAGTACCCCACATCAACTCGCGATGAGGCCCGATTCCCCTGCATTGACTCCAGAGCCATCCCCCGTACCACATTAAACACCACCAGTGGCTTGACTTCCTTCAGGCAACTCCAGAGATTCCCTGAGAACACTGTCCCAAGTCTAGAGGAATACGAACTTCAGCACAGCAACTCGAGGAATGCTCCGTGTACCCCAAATCGTCTCGAGGTGAGAGCTGATTCCATGGCTTAGGCTCAAGACGTATGCCAACTTTCCAGAAGCACCTCAAGAGGAGGCTTCTCTCAGCAGTAGGTATGTGGGAGGGACCCCGAGTTTGCTGCCTAAAGTGGAATATACAGTGAGAAGCCCTAACTTGAAAGGAGGACGGATTTCCTTGCAGTGGCTTGAATACAGGCTCGTCTTTCATCTCACAGCATGAAGGGATGTCTGAAACCCCTGTGGAGACCTTAGAGAAAGCTCTAGGTCCCTGCCTCATTTTGAGGGAATGCCTCACATCCCGTTGTCACCTCGAGAGGCACGCGGAGTTCACTGCTTCAAAAGGTGACGATGCCTGACTCGTCTTGAATATTGATAGGAATCAATAAATCACTGTGGCTACTGGAAAGGGTCCTTGGGTGCCCTGCCTCACCTCGAGAAGCATACCTTTTGACCTGCCAAGCCTCGAAGAGATTCCTGAGGTTTCCCTTGTTACTAGACAGGACTCCTGACGGCACTGAAAAAACACGTGTTTTGAAGGGCCATCCCCGCCGTAACTGGAGAAGATACCCCAGGTCCCCAGCGCAACTTGAGAGAAACCATGAGACTTCCCCCAAGAGCGAGATGAGTCCTGATTCCCTGCAGTGCATGCAGGGTATTCCCGTGATCCCCATCAAACAAGTCAGGAGCTTCGACTTGCTTAATGGATCTCGAGACAGTCCCCAAGAACACTGTCACAAGTCTAGACGGACCCTGAGGTCACCCCAGCAATGTAAAGCAGCTCCATGTGCCCCAAATCAACCCGAAATGTGGCCCGATTCCCCTGCATTGACTCCAGAGCCATCCCCAGTTCCCCATTAAACAAGACCACTGGCTTGACTTCCTTCAGGCAACTCCAGAGATGCCCCGAGAACACTGTCCCAAGACTAGAGGAACACCAACTTCAGCACAGCAACTCGAGGAATGCTCCGTGTACCACAAATCGTTTCGAGGTGAGAGCTGATTCCCAGGCTTAGGCTCAAGACGTATACCAACTTTCCAGAAGCACCTCAAGAGGAGGCTTCTCTCAGCAATCGGTATGTGGGAGGGAACCCGAGTTTGCTGCCTCAAGTGGAATATACAGTGAGAAGCCCTAACTTGAAAGGAGGCCGGATTTCCTTGCAGTGTGTTGAATACAGGCTCGTCTTTCATCTCACAACAGGGAGGGATGTCTGAATCCCCTGTGGAGACCTTAGAGAAAGCCCTAGGACCCTGCCTCATTTTGACGGAATGCCTCACATCCCGTTGACACCACGAGAGGCACGCGGAGTTCACTGCTTCAAAAGGTGACGATGCCTGACTCCTCTTGAATATTGATAGGAATCCCAAAATCCCTGTGGCTATTGGAAAGGTTCCTTGGGTGCCCTGCCTCATCTCGAGAAGCGTCCCTTGTGCCCCGGCAAGCCTCGAAGAGATTCCTGAGCTGTCCCTCGTTACTGGACAGGAGTCCTGACGTCACTGAATAAACACGTGTTTTGAAGGGCCATCGCCGCCGTAACTCGAGTATATACCCCAGGTCCCCGCCGCAACTCGAGAAAAACCATGAGACTTCCGCCTAGAGGCGAGATGAGGCCCGATTCTCCTGCAGTGCATGCAGAGCAATTCCGTGATCCCCATCAAACAAGTCAGGAGCTTCGACTTGCTTAATGGATCTCGAGACATTCCCCAAGAACACTGTCACATGTCTAGACGGACCCTGAGGTATCCCCAGCAACGCAAAGCAGCTCCATGTGCCCCAAATCAACTTGAGATGAGGTCCGATTCCCCTGAATTGACTCCAGAGCCATCTGCCCTTCCGCATTAAACACCACCAGTGGCTTGACCTCCTTCAGACAACTCCAGAGATGCCCCGAGAACACTGTCCCAAGTCTAGAGGAACACCTACTTTAGCACAGCAACTCGAGGAATGCTTCCTGTATGCCAAATCTTCTCGAGTTGAGAGCTGATTCCCTGGCTTAGGCTCAAGACGTATGCCAACTTTCCAGAAGCACCTCAAGAGGAGGCTTCTCTCAGCAATAGGTATGTGGGAGGGAACCCGAGTTTACTGCCTCAAATGGAATATACAGCGAGAAGCACTAACTAGAATGGAGGCCGGTTTCCTAGCAGTGTCTTGAATACAGGCACGTCTTTCATCTCACAGCAGGAAGAGATGTCTGAATCCCCTGTGGAGACCTTAGACAAAGCCCTAGGTCCATGCCTCATTTTGACGGAATGCCTCACATCCCGTTGACACCTCGAGAGTCACGCGGAGTTCACTGCTTCAAAAGCTGACGATGCCTGACTCCTCCTGAACATTGATAGGAATCCCAAAATCACTGTAGCTACAGGACAGGGTTCTTGGGTGCCCTGCCTCACCTCGAGAAGCATCCCTTTTGCCCTGCCAAGCCTCGAAGAGATTCCTGAGCTGTCCCTCGTTACTGGACAGGAGTCCTGACGTCACTGAATAAACACGAGTTTTTAAGGGCCATCCCCGCCGTAACCCGAGTACATACCCCAGGTCCCCGCTGCAAGTCAAGAAAAACCATGAGACTTTCCCCTAGTGGCGAGATGAGGCCCGATTCTCCTGCAGTGCATGCAGAGCAATTCCATGATCCCCATCAAACAAGTCAGGACCTTCGACTTGCTTAATGGATCTCGAGACAGTCCCCAAGAATACTATCACATGTCTAGTTGGATCCTGAGGTCACCCCATCAACGCAAAGCAGCACCATGTGCCCCACATCAACTCGAGATAATGCCCGATTCCCCTGCATTGACTCCAGAGCCATCCCCCGTTCCAGATTAAACAACACCAGTGGCTTGACTTCCTTCAGACAACTCCAGAGATGCCCTGAGAACACTGTCCCAAGTCTAGAGGAACACCATCTTCAGCACAGCAACTCGAGGAATGCTCCGTGTACCCCAAATCGTCTCGAGATGAGAGCTGATTCCCTGGCTTATGCTCAAGACGTATGCCAACTTTCCAGAAGCACCTCAAGGGGAGGCTTCGCTCAGCAATAGTTATGTTGGAGGGACCCCCAGTTTGCTGCCTCAAGTGGAATATGCAACGAGAAGCCCTAACTTGAAAGGAGGCCGGGTTTCCTTGCAGTGTCTTGAATACAGGCTCGTCTTTCATCTCACAACCGGAAGGATTGTCTGAATCGCCTGTGGAGACCTTAGCGAAAGCCCTAGGTCCCTGCCTCATTTTGACGGATTGCCTCACATCCCGTTGACACCTCGGGAGGCACACGGAGTTCACTGCTTCAAATGTGACGATGCCTGACCCCTCCTGATCATTGATAGGAATCCCAAAATCACTGTGGCTACAGGAAAGGGTTCTTGTGTGCCCTGCCTCACCTCGAGAAGCATCCCTTTTGCCCTGCCAAGGCTCGAAGAGATTCCTGAGGTGTCCCTCATTACTAGACAGGAGTCATGACGTCACTGAATAAACACGTGTTTTCAAGGGCCATGCCCGCCATAACTCGAGAACATACCCCAGGTCCCGCCGCAACTCGAGAAAAACCATGAGACTTCCCCTAGATGCGAGATGAGGCCTGATTCCCTGCAGTCCATGCAGAGCATTCCCGTGATCCGAATCAAGCAAGTCAGCAGCTTCGAATTTCTTAATGGATCTCGAGATTGTCCCCAGGAACACTGTCACAAGTCTAGACAGACCCTGACATCACCCCAGCAACGCAAAGCAGCACCAAGTACCCCATATCAACTCGCGTTGAGGCCCGATTCCCATGCATTGACTCCAGAGCCATCCCCCGTACCCCATTAAACACCACCAGTGGCTTGACTTCCTTCAGGCAAATCCAGAGATGCCCCGAGAACACTGTCCCAAGTCTAGAGGAATACGAACTTCAGCACAGCAACTCGAGGAAAGCTCCGTGTACCCCAAATCGTTTCGAGGTGAGAGCTGATTCCATGGCTTAGGCTCAAGACGTATGCCAACTTTCCAGAAGCCCCTCAAGAGGAGGATTCTCTCAGCAATAGGTATGTTGGAGGGACCCCCACTTTGCTGCCTCAAGTGGAATATACAGCGAGAAGCCCTAACTTGAAAGGAGGCCGGATTTCCTTGCAGTGTCTTGAATACAGGCTCGTCTTTCATCTCACAACCGGAAGGGATGTCTGAATCCCCTGTGGAGAACTTAGAGAAAGCCCTAGGTCCCTGCCTCATTTTGACGGATTGCCTCACATCCCGTTGACAACTCGAGAGGCACGCGGAGTTCACTGCTTCAAAAGGTGATGATGCCTGACTCGTCTTGAATATTGATAGGAATCCCAAAATCCCTGTGGCTATTTGAAAGGTTCCTTTGGTGTCCTGCCTCACCTCGAGAAGCGTCCCTTTTGCCCTGCCAAGGCTCGAAAAGATTCCTGAGGTGTCCCTCATTACTAGACAGGAGTCATGACGTCACTGAATAAACACGTGTTTTCAAGGGCCATGCCCGCCATAACTCGAGAACATACCCCACGTACCGCCGCGACTCGAGAAAAACCATGAGACTTCCCCTAGATGCGATATGAGGCCTGATTACCTGCAGTCCATGCAGAGCATTCCCGTGATCCCAATCAAGCAAGTCAGCAGCTTCGAATTGCTTAATGGATCTCGAGACAGTCCCCAGGAACACTGTCACAAGTCTAGACAGACCCTGACATCAACCCAGCTAAGCAAAGCAGGTCCAAGTACCCCACATCACCTCGAGTTGAGGCCCGATTCCCATGCATTGACTCCAGAGCCATCCCCCGTTCCACATTAAACACCACCAGTGGCTTGACTTCCTTCAGGCAACTCCAGAGACGCCCTGAGAACACTGTCCCAAGTCTAGAGAAACACCATCTTCAGCACAGCAACTCGAGGAATGCTCCGTGTACCCCAAATCGTCTCGAGATGAGAGCTGATTCCCTGGCTTAGGTTCAAGACGTATGCCAACTTTCCAGAAGCACCTCAAGGGGAGACTTCTCTCAGCAATAGGTATGTTGGAGGGACCCCCAGTTTGCTGCCTCAAGAGGAATATACAGCGAAAAGCCCTAACTTGAAAGGAGGCCGGATTTCCTTGCAGTGTCTTGAATACAGGCTCGTCTTTCATCTCACAACCGGAAGGAATGTCTGAATCCTCTGTGGAGACCTTAGAGAAAGCCCTAGGTCCCTGCCTCATTTTGAAGGAATGTCTCACATCCCGTTGACACCTCGAAAGGCACACGGAGTTCACTGCTTCAAAATGTGATGATGCCTGACTCCTCTTGAACATTGATAGGAATCCCTAAATCACTGTAGCTACAGGACAGGGTTCTTGGGTGCCCTGCCTCACCTCGAGAAGCATCCCTTTTGCCTGCCAAGCCTCGAAGAGATTCCTGAGGTGTCTCTCGTTACTAGACAGGAGTCCTGACGTCACTGAATAAACACATGTTTTGAAGGGCCATCCCCGCCATAACTCAAGAACATACCCCAGGTCCCGCCGCAACTCGAGAAAAACCATGAGACTTCCCCTAGATGCGATATGAGGCCTGATTCCCTGCAGTCCATGCAGAGCATTCCCGTGATCCCAATCAAGCAAGTCAGCAGCTTCGAATTGCTTAATGGATCTCGAGACAGTCCCCAGGAACACTGTCACAAGTCTAGACAGACCCTGACATCACCCCAGCAAAGCAAAGCAGGTCCAAGTACCCCACATCACCTCGAGTTGAGGCCCGATTCCCATGCATTGACTCCAGAGCCATCCCCCGTTCCACATTAAACACGACCAGTAGCTTGACTTCCTTCAGGCAACTCCAGAGACGCCCTGAGAACACTGTCCCAAGTCTAGAGAAACACCATCTTCAGCACAGCAACTCGAGGAATGCTCCGTGTACCCCAAATCCTTTCGAGATGAGAGCTGATTCCCTGGCTTAGGCTCAAGACGTATGCCAACTTTCCAGAAGCACCTCAAGGGGAGACTTCTCTCAGCAATAGGTATGTTGGAGGGACCCCCAGTTTGCTGCCTCAAGAGGAATATACAGCGAAAAGCCCTAACTTGAAAGGAGGCCGGATTTCCTTGCAGTGTCTTGAATACAGGCTCGTCTTTCATCTCACAACCGGAAGGAATGTCTGAATCCTCTGTGGAGACCTTAGAGAAAGCCCTAGGTCCCTGCCTCATTTTGAAGGAATGTCTCACATCCCGTTGACACCTCGAAAGGCACACGGAGTTCACTGCTTCAAAATGTGATGATGCCTGACTCCTCTTGAACATTGATAGGAATCCCTAAATCACTGTAGCTACAGGACAGGGTTCTTGGGTGCCCTGCCTCACCTCGAGAAGCATCCCTTTTGCCTGCCAAGCCTCGAAGAGATTCCTGAGGTGTCTCTCGTTACTAGACAGGAGTCCTGACGTCACTGAATAAACACATGTTTTGAAGGGCCATCCCCGCCATAACTCAAGAACATACCCCAGGTCCCGCCGCAACTCGAGAAAAACCATGAGACTTCCCCTAGATGCGATATGAGGCCTGATTCCCTGCAGTCCATGCAGAGCATTCCCATGATCCCCATCAAGCAAGTCAGGAGCTTCGACTTCCTTAATCGAACTCGAGAAAGTCCCCAGGAACACTGTCACAAGACTAGACAGACCCTGAGGTCACCCCAGCAATGTAAAGCAGCTCCAAGTACCCCACATCAACTCGCGATGAGGCCCGATTCCCCTGCATTGACTCCAGAGCCATCCCCCGTACCACATTAAACACCACCAGTGGCTTGACTTCCTTCAGGCAACTCCAGAGATGCCCTGAGAACACTGTCCCAAGTCTAGAGGAATACGAACTTCAGCACAGCAACTCGAGGAATGCTCCGTGTACCCCAAATCGTTTCGAGGTGAGAGCTGATTCCATGGCTTAGGCTCAAGACGTATGCCAACTTTCCAGAAGCACCTCAAGAGGAGGCTTCTCTCAGCAATAGGTGTGTTCTTGGGACCCCGAGTTTGCTGCCTCAAATGGAATATACAGCGAGAAGCCCTAAATTGAAAGGAGGCCGGATTTCCTTGCAGTGGCTTGAATACAGGATCGTCTTTCATCTCACAGCAAGAAGGGATGTATGAATCCCCTGGGGAGACGTTAGAGAAAGCTCTAGGTCCCTGCCTCATTTTGACGGAATGCCTCACATCCCGTTGTCACCTCGAGAGGCAAGAGGAGTTCAGTGCTTCAAAAGCTGATGATGCCTGACTCGTCTTGAATATTGATAGGAATCCCAAAATCCATGTGGCTATTGGAAAGGTTCCTTGGGTGCCCTGCCTCACCTCGAGAAGCGTCCCTTGTGCACTGCCAAGCCTCGAAGAGATTCCTGAGCTGCCCCTCGTTACTCGACAAGAGTCCTGACGTCACTGAATAAACACGAGTTTTGAAGTGCCATCCCCGTCGTAACCCGAGTACATACCCCAGGTCCCCGCCGCAAGTCGAGAAAAACCATGAGACTTTCCCCTATAGGCGAGATGAGGCCCGATTCTCCTGCAGTGCATGCAGAGCAATTCCGTGATCCCCATCAAACAAGTCAGGACCTTCGACTTGCTTAATGGATCTCGAGACAGTCCACAAGAATACTGTCACATGTCTAGACGGATCCTGAGGTCACCCCATCAACGCAAAGCAGCACAATGTGCCCCAAATCAACTCGGGATGATGGCAGATTACCCTGCATTGACCCTAGAGCCATCCCCCGTTCCCCATTAAACACGACCAGTGGCTTGACTTCCTTCAGGCAACTCCAGAGATGCCCGGAGAACACTGTCCCAAGTCTAGAGGAACACCAACTTCAGCACAGCAACTCGAGGAATGCGCCGTGTACCCCAAATCGTCTCGAGATGAGAGCTGATTCCCTGGCTTAGGTTCAAGACGTATGCCAACTTTCCAGAAGCACCTCAAGCGGAGGATTCTCTCAGCAATAGGTATGTTGGAGGGACCTCCACTTTGCTGCCTCAAGTGGAATATACAGCGAGAAGCCCTAACTTGAAAGGAGGCCGGATTTCCTTGCAGTGTCTTGAATACAGGCTCGTCTTTCATCTCACAACAGGAAGGGATGTCTGAATCCCCTGTGGAGACCTTAGAGAAAGCCCTAGGTCCCTGCCTCATTTTGACGGAATGCCTCACATCCCGTTGACACCTCGAGAGGCACACGGAGTTCACTGCTTCAAAATGTGACGATGCCTGTCTCCTCCTGAACATTGATAGGAATCCCAAAATCACTGTGGCTACTGGAAAGTGTTCTTGTGTGCCCTGCCTCACCTCGAGAAGCATCCCTTTTGCCCTGCCAAGCCTCGAAGAGATTCCTGATGTGTCCCTCGTTACTAGACAGGAGAACTGACGTCACTGAATAAACACGTGTTTTGAAGGGCCATCCCCGCCATAACTCGAAAACATACCCCAGGTCCCGCCGCAACTCGAGTAAAACCATGAGACTTCCCCTAGAGGCGAGATGAGGCCTGATTCCCTGCAGTCCATGAAGAGCATTCCCGTGATCCCTATCAAGCAAGTCAGGAGCTTCGACTTGCTTAATTGAACTCGAGAAAGTCCCCAGGAACACTGTCACAAGTCTAGACGGACCCTGAGGTCACCCCAGCAATGCAAAGCAGCTCCAAGTGCCCCACATCAACTCGAGATGAGGCCCGATTCTCCGGCATTGACTCAAGAGCCATCCCCCGTACCCCATTAAACACCAACACTGGCTTGACTTCATTCAGGCAACTCCAGAGATGCCCCGAGAACACTGTTCCAAGTCTAGAGGAACACCAACTTCAGCACAGCAACTCGAGGAATGCTCCGTGTACCCCAAATCGTTTCGAGGTGAGAGCTGATTCCCAGGCTTAGGCTCAAGACGTATACCAACTTTCCAGAAGCACCTCAAGAGGAGGCTTCTCTCAGCAATCGTTATGTGGGAGGGAACCCGAGTTTGCTGCCTCAAGTGGAATATACAGTGAGAAGCCCTAACTTGAAAGGAGGCCGGATTTCCTGGCAGTGTGTTGAATACAGGCTCGTCTTTCATCTCACAACAGGAAGGGATGTCTGAATCCCCTGTGGAGACCTTAGAGAAAGCCCTAGGACCCTGCCTCATTTTGACGGAATGTCTCACATCCCGTTGACACCTTGAGAGGCACACGGAGTTCACTGCTTCAAAATGTGACGATGCCTGACTCCTCCTGAACATTGATAGAAATCCCAAAATCACTTTAGCTACAGGACAGGGTTCTTGGGTGCCCTGCCTCACCTCGAGAAGCATCCCTTTTGACCTGCCAAGCCTCGAAGAGATTCCTGAGGTGTCTCTCGTTACTAGACAGGAGTCCTGACGTCACTGAATAAACACGTGTTTTGAAGGGCCATCCCCGCCGTAACTCGAGAACATACCCCAGTTCGCGCCGCAACTCGCGTAAAACCAAGAGACTTCCCCTAGAGGCGAGATGAGGCCTGATTCCATGCAGTCCATGAAGAGCATTCCCGTGATCCCTATCAAGCAAGTCAGGAGCTTCGACTTGCTTAATTGAACTCGAGAAAGTCCCCAGGGACACTGTCACAAGTCTAGACGGACCCTGAGGTCACCCCAGCAATGCAAAGCAGCTGCAAGTACCCCACATCAACTCGAGATGAGGCCCGATTCCCATGCATTGACTCCAGAGCCATCCCCAGTTCCACATTAAACAAGACCACTGGCTTGTCTTCCTTCAGACAACTCCAGAGATGCCCCGAGAACACTGTCCCAAGACTAGAGGAACACCAACTTCAGCACAGCAACTCAAGGAATGCCCCGTGTACCACAAATCGTCTCGAGATGAGAGCTGATTCCCTGGCTTAGGCTCAAGACGTATGCCAACTTTCCAGAAGCACCTCAAGAGGAGGCTTCTCTCAGCAATAGGTATGTTCGTGGGACCCCGAGTTTGCTGCCTAAAGTGGAATATACAGCGAGAAGCCCTAACTTGAATGGAGGCCGGATTTCCTTGCAGTGTCTTGTATACAGGCTCGTCTTTCATCTCACAACAGGAAGGGATGTCTGAATCCCCTGTGAAGACCTTTGAGAAAGCCCTAGGTCCCTGCCTAAATGTGACGGAATGCCTCACATCCCGTTGACACCACGAGAGGCACGCGGAGTTCACTGCTTCAAAAGGTGACGATGCCTGACTCCTCTTGAATATTGATAGGAATCCCAAAATCCCTGTGGCTATTGGAAAGGTTCCTTGGGTGCCCTGCCTCACCTCGAGAAGCATACCTTTTGAACTGCCAAGCCTCGAAGAGATTCCTGAGTTTTCCCTTGTTACTAGACAGGAGTCCTGACGGCACTGAATAAACACGTGTTTTGAAGGGCCATCCCCGCCCTAACTCGAGAAGATACCCCAGGTCCCCAGCGCAACTTGAGAGAAACCATGAGACTTCCCCCAAGATGCGAGATGCGTCCTGATTCCCTGCAGTGCATGCAGGGTATCCCCGTAATCCCCATCAAACAAGTCAGGAGCTTCGACTTGCTTAATGGATCTCGAGACAGTCCTCAAGAACACTGTCACAAGTCTAGACGGACCCTGAGGTCACCCCAGCAACGTAAAGCAGCTCCATGTGCCGCAAATCAACCCGAAATGTGGCCCGATTCCCCTGCATTGACTCCAGAGCCATCCACAGTTCCCCATTAAACAAGACCACTGGCTTGACTTCCTTCAGGCAACTCCAGAGATGCCCCGAGAACACTGTCCCAAGACTAGAGGAACACCAACTTCAGCACAGCAACTCGACGAATGCTCCGTGTACCACAAATCGTTTCGAGGTGAGAGCTGATTCCCAGGCTTAGGCTCAAGACGTATACCAACTTTCCAGAAGCACCTCAAGAGGAGGCTTCTCTCAGCAATCGGTATGTGGGAGGGAACCCGAGTTTGCTGCCTCAAGTGGAATATACAGTGAGAAGCCCTAACTTGAAAGGAGGCCGGATTTCCTGGCAGTGTGTTGAATACAGGCTCGTCTTTCATCTCACAACAGGGAGGGATGTCTGAATCCCCTGTGGAGACCTTAGAGAAAGCCCTAGGACCCTGCCTCATTTTGACGGAATGTCTCACATCCCATTGACACCTTGAGAGGCACACGGAGTTCACTGCTTCAAAATGTGACGATGCCTGACTCCTCCTGAACATTGATAGGAATCCCAAAATCACTGTAGCTACAGGACAGGGTTCTTGGGTGCCCTGCCTCACCTCGAGAAGCATCCCTTTTGACCTGCCAAGCCTCGAAGAGATTCCTGAGGTGTCTCTCGTTACTAGACAGGAGACCTGACGTCACTGAATAAACACGTGTTTTGAAGGGCCATCCCCGCAGTAACTCGAGAACATACCCCAGTTCGCGCCGCAACTCGAGTAAAACCATGAGACTTCCCCTAGAGGCGAGATGAGGCCTGATTCCCTGCAGTCCATGAAGAGCATTCCCGTGATCCCTATCAAGCAAGTCAGGAGCTTCGACTTGCTTAATTGAACTCGAGAAAGTCCCCAGGAACACTGTCACAAGTCTAGACAGACCCTGAGGTCACCCCAGCAATGCAAAGCAGCTGCAAGTACCCCACATCAACTCGAGATGAGGCCCGATTCCCATGCATTGACTCCAGAGCCATCCCCAGTTCCCCATTAAACAAGACCACTGGCTTGTCTTCCTTCAGACAACTCCAGAGATGCCCCGAGAACACTGTCCCAAGACTAGAGGAACACCAACTTCAGCACAGCAACTCAAGGAATGCCCCGTGTACCCCAAATCGTCTCGAGATGAGAGCTGATTCCCTGGCTTAGGCTCAAGACGTATGCCAACTTTCCAGATGCACCTCAAGAGGAGGCTTCTCTCAGCAATAGGTATGTTCGTGGGACCCCGAGTTTGCTGCCTAAAGTGGAATATACAGCGAGAAGCCCTAACTTGAATGGAGGCCGGATTTCCTTGCAGTGTCTTGTATACAGGCTCGTCTTTCATCTCACAACAGGAAGGGATGTCTGAATCCCCTGTGAAGACATTTGAGAAAGCCCTAGGTCCCTGCCTCATTGTGACGGAATGCCTCACATCCCGTTGACACCACGAGAGGCACGCGGAGTTCACTGCTTCAAAAGGTGACGATGCCTGACTCCTCTTGAATATTGATAGGAATCCCAAAATCCCTGTGGCTATTGGAAAGGTTCCTTGGGTGCCCTGCCTCATCTCGAGAAGCGTCCCTTGTGCCCCGGCAAGCCTCGAAGAGATTCCTGAGCTGTCCCTCGTTACTGGACAGGAGTCCTGACGTCATTGAATAAACACGTGTTTTGAAGGGCCATCGCCGCCGTAACTCGAGTATATACCCCAGGTCCCCGCCGCAACTCGAGAAAAACCATGAGACTTCCGCCTAGAGGCGAGATGAGGCCCGATTCTCCTGCAGTGCATGCAGAGCAATTCCGTGATCCCCATCAAACAAGTCAGGAGCTTCGACTTGCTTAATGGATCTCGAGACATTCCCCAAGAACACTGTCACATGTCTAGACGGACCCTGAGGTATCTCCAGCAACGCAAAGCAGCTCCATGTGCCCCAAATCAACTTGAGATGAGGTCCGATTCCCCTGAATTGACTCCAGAGCCATCTGCCGTTCCGCATTAAACACCACCAGTGGCTTGACCTCCTTCAGACAACTCCAGAGATGCCCTGAGAACACTGTCCCAAGTCTAGAGGAACACCTACTTTAGCACAGCAACTCGAGGAATGCTTCCTGTATGCCAAATCTTCTCGAGTTGAGAGCTGATTCCCTGGCTTAGGCTCAAGACGTATGCCAACTTTCCAGAAGCACCTCAAGAGGAGGCTTCTCTCAGCAATAGGTATGTGGGAGGGAACCCGAGTTTGCTGCCTCAAATGGAATATACAGCGAGAAGCACTAACTAGAATGGAGGCCGGTTTCCTAGCAGTGTCTTGAATACAGGCTCGTCTTTCATCTCACAGCAGGAAGAGATGTCTGAATCCCCTGTGGAGACCTTAGAGAAAGCCCTAGGTCCCTGCCTCATTTTGACGGAATGCCTCACATCCCGTTGACACCTCGAGAGTCACGCGGAGTTCACTGCTTCAAAAGCTGACGATGCCTGACTCCTCCTGAACATTGATAGGAATCCCAAAATCACTGTAGCTACAGGACAGGGTTCTTGGGTGCCCTGCCTCACCTCGAGAAGCATCCCTTTTGCCCTGCCAAGCCTCGAAGAGATTCCTGAGCTGTCCCTCGTTACTGGACAGGAGTCCTGACGTCACTGAATAAACACGAGTTTTTAAGGGCCATCCCCGCCGTAACCCGAGTACATACCCCAGGTCCCCGCCGCAAGTCAAGAAAAACCATGAGACTTTCCCCTAGTGGCGAGATGAGGCCCGATTCTCCTGCAGTGCATGCAGAGCAATTCCATGATCCCCATCAAACAAGTCAGGACCTTCGACTTGCTTAATGGATCTCGAGACAGTCCCCAAGAATACTATCACATGTCTAGTTGGATACTGAGGTCACCCCATCAACGCAAAGCAGCACCATGTGCCCCACATCAATTCGAGATAATGCCCGATTCCCCTGCATTGACTCCAGAGCCATCCCCCGTTCCAGATTAAACAACACCAGTGGCTTGACTTCCTTCAGACAACTCCAGAGATGCCCTGAGAACACTGTCCCAAGTCTAGAGGAACACCATCTTCAGCACAGCAACTCGAGGAATGCTCCGTGTACCCCAAATCGTCTCGAGATGAGAGCTGATTCCCTGGCTTATGCTCAAGACGTATGCCAACTTTCCAGAAGCACCTCAAGGGGAGGCTTCGCTCAGCAATAGTTATGTTGGAGGGACCCCCAGTTTGCTGCCTCAAGTGGAATATGCAACGAGAAGCCCTAACTTGAAAGGAGGCCGGGTTTCCTTGCAGTGTCTTGAATACAGGCTCGTCTTTCATCTCACAACCGGAAGGATTGTCTGAATCCCCTGTGGAGACCTTAGCGAAAGCCCTAGGTCCCTGCCTCATTTTGACGGATTGCCTCACATCCCGTTGACACCTCGGGAGGCACACGGAGTTCACTGCTTCAAATGTGACGATGCCTGACCCCTCCTGATCATTGATAGGAATCCCAAAATCACTGTGGCTACAGGAAAGGGTTCTTGTGTGCCCTGCCTCACCTCGAGAAGCATCCCTTTTGCCCTGCCAAGGCTCGAAGAGATTCCTGAGGTGTCCCTCATTACTAGACAGGAGTCATGACGTCACTGAATAAACACGTGTTTTCAAGGGCCATGCCCGCCATAACTCGAGAACATACCCCAGGTCCCGCCGCAACTCGAGAAAAACCATGAGACTTCCCCTAGATGCGAGATGAGGCCTGATTCCCTGCAGTCCATGCAGAGCATTCCCGTGATCCCAATCAAGCAAGTCAGCAGCTTCCAATTGCTTAATGGATCTCGAGATTGTCCCCAGGAACACTGTCACAAGTCTAGACAGACCCTGACATCACCCCAGCAACGCAAAGCAGCACCAAGTACCCCATATCAACTCGCGTTGAGGCCCGATTCCCATGCATTGACTCCAGAGCCATCCCCCGTACCCCATTAAACACCACCAGTGGCTTGACTTCCTTCAGGCAAATCCAGAGATGCCCCGAGAACACTGTCCCAAGTCTAGAGGAATACGAACTTCAGCACAGCAACTCGAGGAATGCTCTGTGTACCACAAATCGTTTCGAGGTGAGAGCTGATTCCATGGCTTAGGCTCAAGACGTATGCCAACTTTCCAGAAGCCCCTCAAGAGGAGGATTCTCTCAGCAATAGGTATGTTGGAGGGACCCCCACTTTGCTGCCTCAAGTGGAATATACAGCGAGAAGCCCTAACTTGAAAGGAGGCCGGATTTCCTTGCAGTGTCTTGAATATAGGCTCGTCTTTCATCTCACAACCGGAAGGGATGTCTGAATCCCCTGTGGAGAACTTAGAGAAAGCCCTAGGTCCCTGCCTCATTTTGACGGATTGCCTCACATCCCGTTGACAACTCGAGAGGCACGCGGAGTTCACTGCTTCAAAAGGTGATGATGCCTTACTCGTCTTGAATATTGATAGGAATCCCAAAATCCCTGTGGCTATTTGAAAGGTTCCTTGGGTGTCCTGCCTCACCTCGAGAAGCGTCCCTTGTGCCTGCCAAGCCTCGAAGAGATTCCTGAGCTGTCCCTCGTTACTGGACAGGAGTCCTGACGTCACTGAATAAACAGGAGTTTTTAAGGGCCATCTCCGCTGTAACCCGAGTACATACCCCAGGTCCCCGCCGCAAGTCGAGAAAAACCATGAGACTTTCCCCTATTGGCGAGATGTGGCCCGATTCTCATGCAGTGCATGCAGAGCAATTCCGTGATCCCCATCAAACAAGTCAGGACATTCGACTTGTTTAATGGATCTCGAGACAGTCCCCAAGAATACTGTCACATGTCTAGACGGATCCTGAGGTCACCCCATCAACGCAAAGCAGCACCATGTGCCCCACATCAACTCGAGATAATGCCCGATTCCCCTGCGTTGACTCCAGAGCCATCCCCCGTTCCACATTAAACACCACCTGTGGCTTGACTTCCTTCAGACAACTCCAGAGATGCCCTGTGAACACTGTCCCAAGTCTAGAGGAACACCATCTTCAGCACAGCAACTCGAGGAATGCTCCGTGTACCCCAAATCGTCTGGAGATGAGAGCTGATTCCCTGGCTTAGGCTCAAGACGTATGCCAACTTTCCAGAAGCACCTCAAGGGGAGGCTTCGCTCAGCAATAGTTATGTTGGAGGGACCCCCAGTTTGCTGCCTCAAGTGGAATATGCAACGAGAAGCCCTAACTTGAAAGGAGGCCGGGTTTCCTTGCAGTGTCTTGAATACAGGCTCGTCTTTCATCTCACAACCGGAAGGATTGTCTGAATCCCCTGTGGAGACCTTAGCGAAAGCCCTAGGTCCCTGCCTCATTTTGACGGATTGCCTCACATCCCGTTGACACCTCGGGAGGCACACGGAGTTCACTGCTTCAAATGTGACGATGCCTTACCCCTCCTGATCATTGATAGGAATCCCAAAATCACTGTGGCTACAGGAAAGGGTTCTTGTGTGCCCTGCCTCACCTCGAGAAGCATCCCTTTTGCCCTGCCAAGGCTCGAAGAGATTCCTGAGGTGTCCCTCATTACTAGACAGGAGTCATGACGTCACTGAATAAACACGTGTTTTCAAGGGCCATGCCCGCCATAACTCGAGAACATACCCCAGGTCCCGCCGCAACTCGAGAAAAACCATGAGACTTCCCCTAGATGCGAGATGAGGCCTGATTCCCTGCAGTCCATGCAGAGCATTCCCGTGATCCCAATCAAGCAAGTCAGCAGCTTCGAATTTCTTAATGGATCTCGAGATTGTCCCCAGGAACACTGTCACAAGTCTAGACAGACCCTGACATCACCCCAGCAACGCAAAGCAGCACCAAGTACCCCATATCAACTCGCGTTGAGGCCCGATTCCCATGCATTGACTCCAGAGCCATCCCCCGTACCCCATTAAACACCACCAGTGGCTTGACTTCCTTCAGGCAAATCCAGAGATGCCCCGAGAACACTGTCCCAAGTCTAGAGGAATACGAACTTCAGCACAGCAACTCGAGGAATGCTCCGTGTACCCCAAATCGTTTCGAGGTGAGAGCTGATTCCATGGCTTAGGCTCAAGACGTATGCCAACTTTCCAGAAGCCCCTCAAGAGGAGGATTCTCTCAGCAATAGGTATGTTGGAGGGACCCCCACTTTGCTGCCTCAAGTGGAATATACAGCGAGAAGCCCTAACTTGAAAGGAGGCCGGATTTCCTTGCAGTGTCTTGAATAC